TGTTCTATATCATTACCAGTATTTATAGATTTACATTGTTTCGCGTACTGTTTTTCTCTCTCAGTGAACTAAATGAAACTAACAAAAATACTGCTTATTTTCAGGCTAGTTACCACATATAGGGAGAGAGAGATAGTAACGCCCATTCATCTTTGCTTACTCATTATGCTGTATATATGAAATACAGTGCAACAACAACAAAATGAGTAACTAGAATATGAAAAACTTTAAAGTGAACATACTCAGCAAGTTAAAGAAAGAAACGATGGGAAACAGAAGATATTTTGTATATTCAAAATAAATACGGAAATGGTTATATATTATGTAGAGAAAATCGATTACAATTATTGTTATAATTGCCAGTTGAAATAAGATTTTAGGAGGTTATTAACTTTATTCACTAATTAAAAATAGTCAACATAAATGAATTTCAGTTTATAAAAAACTTGCACATTTATGGCTAGTGTGTGAATATATATGAGAAGATGGTCAACATCATACGATGAAATACAATGCGAAGTCGTAAATGGAAGACGGCTAACGGACGCATTCCAAGTTAGGACCGCATTCAGACAATGCTGCTTATTCTACCTCTCCCTCTTTCTTCTGGATTATGAAGACCTCGACATCTGAGGGAAAGTACGGAATACGATGGACAGTTAAGAATCAATGGACGACTTGAACTTCTCAAATGAGCTGGACCTTCTATCCCCTACGCATCAACAAATGCAAATGAATAGAACCAGTATAGCAGCCTCTACATACACAAGTGTAAAAGGAAAATCCTCAAACGCAACACGGAGAATATCAACTCACTCACATTTGATGGAGAAACTTTGTAATAGATGGAAACCCTCACGTACCTGATCAGCAGCATCAATAAATAAAGATCTCATGCAGGTATTAAGGCGAGGATTAACAAAGTAAGGCCGCATTCCTACAGTTGAACATATGGAACTCAAAACAACTGTCAACTAACGTCAAAGTCTCAATCTTCAATACGAACCTCACGACGGTTCTACTGTACACAACTGAAACTTGGAGAATTACTACTACCATCATCAAAAGCGTACATGTATTTATAAACATTTGTCTACACAAGATACTCAGTCTCCACTGGTCGGATACCGTCAGCAACAACCTACTATGGGAAAGAACAAAGTACCTTCCATCTGAAGAGTTAGTTAGGAAAAGACGTTGGAAGTGGATAGGAAACAAATTGAGGAAATTAATAAACTACATCACGAGGCAATGGCCACCTTGGAATTTTGAAGGGAAACGGAAAAGAGGAAGGCCATGGAATACACTGCATCTGGAATTGGAAGGCATCAAAAAGACGAGTAACAACTGGAAGAAACTATGTAGGATACCCGAGGACAGAGTTGGATGGACAATACTTGTGGATGGCCTATGCTCTTCCAAGAAGGGGAACAGACGTAAGTAGGTAAGTGTGTATGTGCACACACTTTTGAATAAGTAAACACACAACTTACTCAATGATATTTAAGCGAAGGACACTAAAATAGATAGAGTATTAAACTTGATAACTCCGCCTGTAGCTCTTATAGGGTTGCTGCCGGTCCCAAGCCCGGGTAAAGGAGGAGGGTTGGGCATGGGGTTAGCGTCCCCATCCCGTAGAAAACTAACTCGCTAAAAAACGCTTACCAGAAAAAATAATCCAAACCATTTTAACTCTACCCTGGGAGTTAGAAGGTCTTCATTTAGAAGAATTATGACTCTTCATGGTGAAATTCGAGTTCCTTCGGAAGCCATGAGGCCGATGCCCCTTCTAACAACCAGAGCAAAAATTTTTATAGGTACATGGAACGTTCGAACAATGTGGGAAACCGGGAAGACCAGTCAAATATCAATGGAAATGAGGAGATACAACTTAGCAGTACTGGGAATCAGCGAAACCCACTGGACCCAAGCGGGACAGAAAAGGCTAGCTACGGGAGAGATGCTGCTTTACTCCGGTCACGAAGAGGACAATGCTCCACACACTCAGGGAGTCGCTCTTATGCTGTCCAAAGTAGCACGAAATGCACTTGTAGGATGGGAATCACACGGATCCAGAATCATCAAAGCAAAAGAGGGGATCACAATGAATATTATCCAATGTTATGCACCCACCAATGATAGCAACGACGACACTAAAGATCAATTCTACGAGCGGCCGCAGTCAATCATAGAGAAGTGCCCAAGAAAGGACCTCACCATTCTAATGGGAGATCTAAATGCCAAAGTCGGAATAGACAACACTGGATATGAAGATATTATGGGACGACATGGACTGGGAGAAAGAAAAGAAAATGGAGAAAGATTTGCGAATTTGTGTGCATTCAACAAATTAGTCATAGGAGGCACAATATTTCCACACAAGCGTATACACAAGGCTACATGGATCTCACCGGACCACACTACAGAGAACCAAATAGATCATATTTGCATCAACAAAAAATTCCGAAGGACAATGGAAGATGTGAGAACCAGGAGAGGTGCTGACGTAGATTCAGATCACCACCTAGTTGTAGCCAATTTGAAACTGAAGCTAAAAAAGAACTGGACAAGTGGACAAACTGCAATACAAAGGTTCAATACAGCCTTCCTTCGAGATACTGTCAAACTCAATGAATTCAAGATAGCTCTCAACAACAGGTTCCAAGCCTTACGAGATCTACTGAAAGAAGAAACTACTATGGAGGACAACTGGAAAGGCATCAAGGAAGCATTAACTTCAACGTGTCAAGAGGTTCTCGGTCTAAAGAAATACCATCATAAGGAATGGATCTCTACAGAAACACTGGACAAGATCAAAGAAAGGAAGAACAAGAAGGCAGCAATAAACAACAGCCGAACACGAGCAGAGAAAGTCCAAACACAAGCTGAATACATAGAAGCAAACAAACAAGTGAAGAGGAGCATTAGAGCCGACAAGAAGAAATACGTTGAAGAACTAGCAACGACGGCAGAAAAAGCTGCTAGAGAAGGAAATATGAAACAGCTTTACGATACAACGAAGAAACTATCAGGGAAATACAGTAAACCAGAGAGGCCGGTCAAAGACAAAGAAGGGAAGCCAATCACCGAAATTCAACAACAACGTAACAGATGGGTAGAATACTTCGAGGAACTCCTGAATAGGCCGGCTCCAATGAATCCACCAAACATCGAAGCAGCACACATAGATCTTCCTATAGATGTCAATCCACCAACTACGGAAGAAATTAGAATGGCCGTCAGACAAATCAAGAACGGAAAAGCAGCAGGACCCGACAACATACCAGCTGAAGCACTGAAATCATACGTCGAAGTAACCACAAGCATGCTTTACCCTCTATTCAAAAAGATTTGGGAGGAGGAACAAGTGCCGATGGACTGGAAAGAAGGACAACTTATCAAGATTCCAAAGAAAGGAGATCTGAGCAAATGTGAAAACTACAGAGGCATAACACTACTGTCAATACCAGGGAAAGTCTTCAACAGAGTGTTGCTGAACCGGATGAAGGATGCAGTAGACGCCCAACTTCGAGATCAACAAGCTGGATTCCGTAAGGATCGGTCGTGCACAGACCAAATTGCAACACTACGGATCATCGTCGAACAATCAGTTGAGTGGAACTCATCACTATACATCAACTTCATTGATTATGAAAAGGCATTCGACAGTGTAGATAGGAGGACGTTATGGAAACTTCTTCGACACTACGGAATTCCTGAGAAGATTGTCAATATAATCCGGAACTCATACGACGGACTACAGTGCAAAGTAGTGCATGGAGGACAGCTGACAGATGCATTCCAAGTAAGGACCGGAGTCAGACAAGGCTGTTTACTCTCTCCCTTCCTTTTTCTCCTGGTGGTCGACTGGATTATGAAGACCTCAACATCTGAAGGAAAACACGGAATACAATGGACAGCTCAGAATCAATTAGACGATTTGGACTTCGCAGATGACCTAGCCCTCCTATCACGTACACACGAACAGATGCAGATGAAGACAGCCAGTGTAGCAGCAGTCTCTGCATCAGTAGGCCTCAGCATACACAAAGGGAAAACTAAGGTCCTCAAATTCAAAGCGGAGAACAGCAATCCAATCACTCTTGATGGCGAAACTCTGGAAGATGTAGAATCCTTCACATATCTGGGAAGCATCATCGATGAACAAGGAGGCTCAGATGCAGACGTAAAGGCGAGGATCGGCAAAGCAACAACAGCATTCCTACAATTGAAGAACACATGGAACTCAAAACAACTTTCAACCAATATCAAAGTGAGAATCTTCAATACGAACGTCAAGGCAGTTCTACTGTATGGAGCTGAAACTTGGAGAACTACAACAACCACAATCAAGAAAGTACAAGTATTTATAAATAGCTGCCTTCGCAAGATACTCAACATCCATTGGCCGGATACCATCAGCAACAGCCTTCTGTGGGAGAGTACAAACCAACTTCCAGCTGAAGAAGAAATTAGGAAAAGACGATGGAAATGGATAGGACATACATTACGCAAATCGTCAAACTGCATCACGAGGCAAGCCCTAACTTGGAATCCTGAGGGGAAGCGAAAAAGAGGAAGGCCAAAGAACACATTGCGTCGGATAATAGAAGCAGATATGAAAACGATGAGTTACAACTGGACGGAGCTAGAAAGGATTGCCCAGGACAGGGTTGGATGGAGAACGCTGGTGAGCGGCCTATGCTCCTTCACGAGGAGTAATAGGCGTAAGTAAGTAAGTAATTAAATTTGATCTTGAACTGACATATGTTCCTATCCTATCGAAATATCATAGACAAAATAATTCCACAAGTGGAAATAAACAATTTTTATACAACATGATTGTAGTTCATACGGATAATTTCATTGATTTAAACATCAGATCGAAACAAATAACGACTTTACATACATTACAATTCATATATGAAATCAAATTTGTGAACGTAGAAAACACATGAAGAGACTGTTTCTGCTTTTATAAATGAGCGCGAAAAACTTACTGAGGAAGAAGTGGAGCTGGAAGTTGACCAGGGGCTGTAGTTACAATTGTTGGGGGATTCAAAGTATGCCGTATAGGTAAATTTGGTGCTGGTCTTGAAGGTATGGGACGATTAGAATTTGATGTGATATTATTAGGACTTAAAGGTCTTTGTGTTGTACTAGTACTGTGATGACCGGAATGAGATGCATTACTAGAAGGAAGTGGTCGACGAACATTATTTGATCCAGTAGATAACTCCTGAAATTTAGGAAAAAATTACAATGGGTTTTTCAGAAAATTGCACTAAATGATGGATTTATTAATAAACTGTTAGTAACGTATGGGTATTTACAGCCATACCATACTTCATGCGATTATTCTTTAAAAAATACATAATCCCCACAGTGTGTATATTCAATACCACAAGGTGATATTGAAGGTATAAAATGCGGTAACCATCGGCTAAATCTAGCCAACACACGAATTCCCACAAAATATTGACTACTAATACTATCTTACTTTATCCAGTGTACATAACGAATAATTCCGATAAAGATAAATTAATTACTGGTGCTAAATATCTAGATAGACCAGATAGAAATGTGTTATCATTAACTCACTTTATGAGACTTAATTACTCGATGAAAGATTATTTAGAAATACTTAGTTATTTTCGTAACCTTTTTTCAAGCCTTGTATGTTAAATATTTCAGGTATTTCAACTTTGAAAATTAGATTTTTTTTTCTATATTTGTGAATTCAACCAAATCTCATGAATGATTAATTTTGTCACTTACTATGTACGTAGCAAATCTAACATACACCAATCTTACAAGTCTTAAAACCATTTGAAGTAAATTACATGATTGATAACATAAGAGGAAAACACAACATTTGGTAAACTATAAAATATCTATAATTAAAATTTCAGTCTATCAAGTTGTTATATTTTAATATTTTATGTTCATGCTACAATAATTACCAAACCAGGGATGATTGTCGCGTAAAGCGATGACACCAACTAGCACACAACACTTTGGCGATAACATAGAAGGAAAATGAGTTCTAAGTGGGGCGAACAGGGCAAACTACAAGAGTAGGACTCCGTATATATAGTAACTAAAGCATGACCTTCCGCCATACAGAAATTTAGCCGACTATAAGAAATGGAAACCATTCAAAAAAGGCAAATATAAAGCGGAAAATTGAATTAGAAAAAAGGCACTTGGGGTTATTTTTTGGTAACATTTCAGCCTAGTCAGCGAAATTTCGGTTATCTTCAAATTGTCTTAGCATAACTATTACTCAATTAAGGTAGGATGAAGCACTGAAACAATTTTGAGCAATAACAAAGCAATTTACTAGGTATGTTATTATACAGTTGAATCTAAAATCTGGGAAAAATATTTCTACGCAACTAATTGGTTAGTTAAGTTATGAATAGGAGAGAAAAATAATTGGCTGAAAAATATTCAACCATCGAGTACAAGGTATTGTGTGTGCTCATGTTGGAGTTAAAGTAGTATCAGAAATAATGTGCGAATATATTGAATTTCGACATCTGGATTCAAAAGACGATTATTAGAGTGATTAAAACGACTCCTAAGATGTATTTTTTATCAATGATTTTAAACTATATATTAATATGATAATATTTGTCCGACAAAGCTTACCGTCTCAATCCAGTCATCACTGACAGGTGGAGGTAATGGGACACTATGCGTATTAGCTATGACATCTGATATAACTGATAATGCCTCACGTATTGAATCATACATACGTATAATTTCTTCACGATGGTTTTTCTCAGCTGATGACTCTTCCATAAGATTGTTCTACAACGATGATGATATTTTTAAAGCAAATAGAAAATAAAACAAAAAGAAAATGGACCGATTAAATATAATGCGTGAAATGTGTTCACATGAAAATCTTATACACTTTCCAAATAATAAATGTTTCAATAACTTAGAGATTTTTGTCAAATTCATTCGTGAGAAACATTTTACAATTAACAATAATTAGTTTGACCAATGTTGAGGATGAAAAAAACCACAAGAACGTTCGACTTCAAACTAGCACAACGCAGTTATAATTCATTAGTCATTACTGATCTCGACGCATCCGTTTGTAGGTAGACACATCACTTATGATGTGCACCAGTGTGGTCAAAGAAAAACCAACTCTAACCTCTATTAACTAATTAAACGACGCTAAGAAGGTAAACTTTGTTTTAAAAAAAACACTGAATAACATACTATCGTACGATATAATAAGTCAAATCCTATAAATATATAGAGAGATCAATCGTATTTACCCTAATTATTCGATAATTAATTGAAAATTCAAAGCTTTCTGAATTTCATTATATTACTGTTATAACTTGTGTCCTGTGCCCTATTAATATATAACGTAATGATACCACCAATAAGAGAACAGTGACTAATCGACCAGACCAATGACGGACCCGTACGAGCAATCTAGAGTCATTATCGGTATTTCTTCCTGCCTAACCCTGCTTGTTGAGTCCAGAACACAAATCTCGATATGAATCATGTATTTCAAACATACTGGGTTTATATAAAAGCCAAATAGACCACATCACACCATAAAGTAGAAAGTAACATTTCTACAAGATCTAGCCAAAAGTGGCTGTGATTGTAGGATACTGTAACTAATGGCAGATCGAGTAATAATAGTCCATAGGTCAAAATTGTCATTGATTCTCATTGGGAAAACAGAACTCAAGATTCCATGAGCCTCAGTATCGTGCAAATGAATAAGTCATTTCATGTGGCGTTTACTAGTCTATATGTATGTACAAAGATAACTCAAGAAATGTGGTTGAAGGTGGTCGAGGATATCCAGAAACAGCTACACGCCTAGCTGGCATCATAATTTCAGATATGTTAAATGGGTCAATAATCTTTCTCATCTAGTCGTATATACATGAAATAGCGAAAAAAACTTAAAAAAACTCTTACCTCGTTTACAAGCGAACTGTCAATGTAACATTTTCAGGTCCAATAGAAATCTTAATCACTAGGAATTTTAAGCACCCTTTTATGTTTTCCAACACAATATGTTGCGACTTTAAACCTGCCTTGGCAGTTCTTAATCAAGTTCTGATGGCAGATTTGGTGTAAAAAGTATATACTTTCTGGTATTATGATGTTCTTATTGTTATTCTGTATACTTTCAATAATTAATTGTGACTTAGTTGACCTTTTTATTCGTAATGATCTTTTGTTAGTTTTTGTACTAAACCTTTTGACTTACTAAATATATGACCAGACCGTTTGAAATGCACTACACAAAAGTATTACATTGCTTATTACAAATATTAAATTTACAATGTGGAATAATTGTTTCAAAATCTCAGACCAAGACAAACTTCCCAATTATAACAATCGATGTTCAATTGTCGGTAATCAGGGGAACATTGGTCTACCTAATGATACTTTGATTACTCAGAATATGACATGTAATCGAAATTTCAAAAAAGGAAACCGTTTCTTTTGATGAGCAAAAAACAAAACCCAAGTATCACTATGGAATTTTGGAGATTGTTGAATTTGAATTGAGATCATATAACGACTCAGTGAATAGAAAAAAACAATTATCTATTTATACAGTATACTGCCACAAAAGATGTTATTCCCTAACTTTGTGTCAGTCACACTTTGTAAATTGTCGTATAATCAAGAGACGATTAACAGCAATGTAAGTCAGACTTGAAAAGTAAATATAAATCAAAACAACTGTGGATAGTCTCTTCATTATTTGTTTCTTCAGTTTCGATCAACAATTGTTTTCTACATTTAAACATCATTTCATGATAGAAATTGTCGTTTAAAGTATTGAAATAGTAATTGTTCATAGCATTTTATTTTTCAGATTGACAACTGATATTTGTTAGTGTAAGTAAAATATGATTGGTCACTGAGCGGCACTTAACCTACTGACTATTAAGTATGTGAATTTCTTTCCTCCCATTGATTTCTACACCGGATTCACTGAGTTTGACTGCTTGTAACTGCGTTGAATAGGCTACAATCGAGTGTCAATCTGGTTCTCTATTCTGGGTCGTGAATTCTGGATCTGATATAACGTGACTAGCCTCAGCATACTAGTATACCCGAGAGAGATAAATATTTTAAACCATCCGTTATATCACAAATGAATCAAACAAAATTCCGTCGAATTGATAGTAAACAGAAGCACATAGAGTCCAAATAGTACTAGAATAAAAACTACCACTAACTAGTTAAAACAAAATTGATTAAAAAAGAGACAAAAAAAAGTAAATAGACGAACTTACAGGGTCTTGTGAATACAATTTGGGCAAGAGATCGCCTTTTAGAAAAATCTTGATCTATATTTGAGAATAATTTAGAAAGTAAAAATATTGACTACGTCATCAAGATTGAAGTGAATTGGCAAAAAAACTACATTTAGTAATATATTATTTATAGTAGTATAGTCAATTATGCGTGAAAAAATTCAGGTCCTAGTGCATTGATCATAAGTTCTGTATAATTGAATAAACTTTGCATTCGAAATGAGTGGTTAGTAGAAGATTCAACTGGTTGAGAAATAACACTCTGTCAGTGAAAGACAGACAATACTAAGTAGAGGTCCGTGCATCATACATCTGTTCCGTATTAACTCGAAAGAGGAAACATGAGTGAAATGATATATATATATATATATATATATATATATATATATATATATATATATATATATATCACTTTCAGGAAGGCAGAAAAGGACTGTTTTAAATTACTAAGTTAATTAGAAGGCGAAACAACAAAAAAGCCAGCTGAAAATCAGTAGCATAGTTTTAATCAAACTATTTATTAACTGCACGATAGAGTTTACAGTCGTTTACCATTTAAATTGAATGAAACAGAAGGACTTTTTGAGTGAATGAATGATTTGTAGAGATGAATAAAATACCGATCAGCTAGTGTGATAAAATGATACGATATGGCCGAATGATAAGTCTTCATCAAACTAATGTATTGATGTAAGTCTCTCAATGGATGAATTTCAAAGAAAAGATTATTAGTTAAAAGAATAGGATTTCTATCCAAAAACATAACATAGGATATATACATATATAGTCCGTATGGGGTTATAGAGTTCTGTTGAGTAGCCATGGCTAGTGCAGTTGAACCGTGTCCGGTGTGAGACAGTTACCCACCGAAGACAATAAAAGATGGTAACATGATGTCACAGACTGATTAAAGATAGGCATTAACACCGTTGGATGCCGAATCAGTTGTCTAGAAGTTAAAAGTTCACACGCAGGATCGAAGATACTGAGTTCAATTTTCGTGTGTGGGGTCATGAATGCGCACAGCTGAGGAGTGCCATACTTGAACGTAACAGCTGTCCAGTGCTTCCAGGTTTTCAATAATGGTCTGAGATCGATTCATGATTTCAATGAAATATATATAATGCTAAGCTAAAATTAATGTGATTAGTTATCATAAACCATTGTAGGATATCAGAATTGTAGATCATTCGCTTACCAACAATGATCTAACAGTTAGAGTTGATTCTGATACACGGTATCATTTACAGTACGTCATTCGTCAAGGAAAAATAATAATAAAAGGATTTTTATCGAAGTATTCATGACGTATTAAATAAGTATCACAGTTGGGAAGCTGTTCAAGTGAACGCTATTTATCATACAGAACCAAATGTAGCTAATGTAATGTTAGATAAAAGTTTCGGATAATCAGTGTGGCCATAACTTTATTGTTTATAAGTATTACAATCAATCCAACCTAGTAGCCGAATCGAGGTTCGTGTACTCTAATTTGCATGTGGGGGATAAAGGTATTAATTGGGTGTCAAAGGTAGAATGGAATCTGAGGCAGTAATTCAGTAGTTGAAGGTCTAGCAAGCAAAGGCGCTCACAGAACTATATGGTGACGTAAATTTTCTAATCCATCAGTTAATCAGCGAAATGAATACGCCTATTCAATTCGTACTTAGACAAGCGAAAATAAGGAGTCGTAAAGGAGAAATGAGAAAAACAGCAACCATTCAAATGTAGATGAAAAAATAGCGAGATTTTTATTCTACAATCAAGGTAATATTTTGGAGATTAAAATTATATATAAAATTACCTCATTAATTAATTGATGCATAATTATTTTCGGAACCATATCACGTTGTGTTTTAGTAACGATTTTCATGTAGGAGTCAACTAAATTACGTATAATTTCTACTTGTCTTTCAAGTTTAGGATCAGTCGGTATTTTATTCGTATCACCATCATCAGTCTGTAGCACAAAAAGAATATTTAAAAAATATACACATACTTAGATGATAAGATTCACAACAGTATTATTATTATTAGGTAGTAGGAACGTTGATCCACTGAGTTTATTGAACAATTATACACCTTTTTAGTCAAGTACGAAACCATTTACTATGAAAATAACAAAGAAATAACTTTACCATTTAATTCATTCTAACTATACATTCTATATGAATTAGTTTAGGAGTGAATTTTTGAGAACATGAAATAATTAGTCACAATGTATTTGTGAAACATAAGAACTACCATCAAATGTAGTTTACATAGACAGTTATATCTCCTTCGATACTGCCTTAAAAATATATCTCCCTCTGTCATTGAGCTTGTACAGACATTAGATGTTTCATTAATGTTGTAATTAGTAAACTCTCCTTTCAGTTTTATGTTATCTCTCGTTATTCGCATTTCTTATCCTCATTACGTCATTAACTTCTCCATCGTAAGAATGTTTACAGGATAGTTAATTAGATTAAATAAAACAAATCAAAAGCAATTGATCGTAAAACAATCAAGCATATACATGACGACAGATCTATCGTAGTATTATTTGTTCCTATTCCATGCTCTCGGTTTTCTTGGTCTTCTCTCAAGTTGTATTTAATAATATTTGATTAGGTGGATAATCTGAACAACAACAAACCCTTCCCATTATTAGTAAGTATCACCATTCAAAGTTGAGATTAGACGATTTCACATGTTTTATGTAGTTTGTGTGGAAAATTAGGGCAGTAGTACCAACCACTATTACCTAATGAGTACTGTTTAAATACCACTATCTAAAACTTCAGTTGATCCATTTGTTGTTCTATTTCATCGTGATAGAGAAGCTCTACAAACCGGCACATCTATGTATATATTTATTATGGCATTGTTTAGAACGTCTTAACAGTGCATATATGAAACATTACTAGAAATAAAACCAGAATTTTTGTAGTCAGTATATTTTGGGATGAAACTTTGAAGAAAAAAAACTGATAACCACGAAATAACTCGATAGTAACGTTGTTCAGCATGAGACCAAGTAGTATTGGATTCGTAACCAATTATCCATGATGAAGCAGGTAGTTCACAGTTTTGGAAATTTGCGTAAGTAAACTAATGATGGTGTAAAGAATAATTACAGTTCCATTCCCATAACTTTCATCTTCTTGTTCAAAGATTAAATATCACTTGAATTATAATTGAAAAACAAAAATTACTTCGGAGCTGCCTAGATATCATCCAATAAGTTATGTATAAGATACATTACCAAGTCTATACAACATAGAACCCAAGATTCTGCACCTATTTCCTGTGATCACAATAGCTATAGGATGCATTGTCTTAAACAGCATTCACTTTATCGAATTCAATGAAATCAGTATTCCATACTTTGCTATCCTCTCAATAGTCATTTGATAGAAATTAAAATAGTTTTTATAATTATAATAACAAAGCACATATCACGTACACACACATCTAGGAACATAAAAAGTAATCACGAGGCCTATGTTATGCTTAGTTGATGTACATTCAACCATGCATATACACATAAATCATATGACTTGAGATTAAGGGCTATGAGAATAAAGTTTTTCTAACAAAAATTTTAAAATTCAAGAGTACAATATGATGCCATGGTACTACTTGATCATATAAAATGACGCTTTAACTAAATCAATGAACGAAGTTAATTTACTAAAAATAGCTAAATAATAAATAAGTTTACAAAAGAAAAGAAAACAGAATAAAATTAATTGGTGTTAGGTGATTTATTATTAGTAGTATGAAAGACGAGATTAGTTCATTTCCTCCGTGTTCTTCTGTCATTCATTACCGATCAATAATTGACTAGAATCAACATTGTATTGTATGGTAACATAAAAAATCTATTGCATAATTAATCAATAAGGATAACAAGAGTTTCGTAAAGAAATTGTTCATTTGCAATGATGTGATCTACTACAATTGTACAACCGAATTGATAGTTATTTTTTTAAGACAATAGTCTGTAATAAAACAGATAAGTGTTCTGTTATTGATACGGTTGCCAAAAACTAAATGGAAATACTTTCAAATATTCAATGAAAGTTACATAATTATTGAGAATAACATTTATAAGTGAGATGTGAAAGATAATTGTTCACTTGACCAATATAAAGAAGAAAAGTGCACATATCAAAACAACTTACAAAATTATCGAAGGAATGAACTGATAGAAAAACAATCAATTAAATATATCACTTATGAAAACAGAGACTAGAGGATGAACTGAAGAATCGCTAGTCTCAACTATAAATAGTTTCCTTTTGAGTAAGTTTGAATGTAGGTAACATCAAGTCATCCATTCCAACAACTTAAGTTCTTTATGTGAATATCAACGACGGAACATCGTATACATGTCTGTTGAACAACATATACACAAACGTTTCCAAAACAATGGCTAAAGGATTAAAATAAACGGCAGAACACGAGACGAGACATAAAAACATATAATCCTTGATTACTTACCTGTTCGTCTGGTTTTCCAGATGGATCATGAAACACTCCAGCCCGAACTAAAGCAGCTTTCCAAGCTTCAACCGCTTCTTCTGTATCTGCAGATAAATCTAAAGTTTTGTGATCTTTGTACAAATTAACTTTAGGATCTGGATGATGAAGGACAAACGTTGGTCGTTTTGAAAAGAATCCTGTATCACCGCTACGTTGTTTTAATCCATCTAAAGGAAGAACAAATCGTCTCTCACGTTCCTAGTAGAAAAAAAAAGCGAATTCCATAATATTTTCATACGGGATTTTGAACAATAATTCTCTGGTAAACTTTATACTACTTTATTATTTGATGGAAAGTATACAGATTAGATATAAGAAACAGTATTTTACATTTTCAAATCGGTCATTCGTATATCATCGTTAAAAGCTGAACACTAATTTAACGGAATGAATGAAAATATGTGCGTTCAAAGAACTAGTTTCAAAATATTGCATCAAAATTCAGATTATTAATAATAATATTATCCTCTCTTAGCTATTTTATATACCATAAGCCCATTTAGTGGAAACACAGCTTTATAAACGTTTCTTAAAGAGCCAAGTAAGAAAACAGTGTGCTTAGGCATATTATTCTCCTACCTAATGTCTCCTTATAAAGAAAGGTTCACTTTTCCCTTTATTGATTCTCATCGAGGACCGATAAAAAAAAATGAATATTAGGCACTGAGAACTACTAGATAGACCGAGTTATCTTTTATTCAGACTCCTCAACACTGAGAGCAGATAAGACTAGAAAAAAAGACCAAAGCCACATGACTACGTGATAGTTTCTTTATAGTTCAATAAATTAAAATCATAAAAAAATGTTCACAGATGAATAATTGTCATGCTGCATCACGAATTGATTGAAGTTAGATTTGTATTTAAAGACGCCGAAATAGTGGTCCGAATGGTTAAGTATTCAATGCGAAACCTGAAAGTTCTGTAATTGATCCCTCGTATGGTTATCATCATTTTTTCTTATCAAAATACTGAAAAATATTCTATTTAATCCAATCAAGTACAAGGTTAACACATTTTACAAGTGCCTAGATATGTGACAATGAATTAATATCTACAGTAAATTTTTTATTAAAAATTAATTTAACAAAAGAAAACACAATACACACTAAGATGGTAGACAAATAAGGTGCATTATTTTTTTTACTAACTAAGCATCAATTAACCATGAACACACACATACTGAATAGATAGCATCCTACAAGAATATCAAGATGAGTATGTGAGTAAATTTTTGTTGAGATAACAAACAACGTTTGACCTTGTTCATCATATTTTTTAATCTTATTTAAACAATCGATTGATGAGAAATTCAGTAAGAAAAAAAGTGTGTTAGATCCAGGATGAGATCATAAACTAAGTATTGTGCTTAATAAAATAAAAGAATGAAATTAATAATAGGTGTAGATGAAAAGAGAACATAATACTGATAATAATAGTAATAATAATAATAATAATAATAGATTAGTGTGTTAACACAAAAAGGAATTTTGATGCTGTATATACTTTCACAAACACGACACATATTTTCGTTAATGTACTTATAAAAAAAACAACTGTCAATAAATTAAAAAACGGAGATTTAATTGTCTCTCTATTTTGTTTTCTTTCAAGGAATTCAAGTATTTAAAAGTATAATTTAATAAGGTAAATGAAAGTCAGAAGAGTTTGCAATCATAAAAATGATTAAGACATTATGATATTATATTGATTGTCAACATTGGATCAACAGTACAGTTCGTAAATAATAACCTGTAGATTTTTAGTCAATTCACTTAGTCGACCATATACGGAGTAAAAGAATCTGATATATATATATATATATATATATTCGCATCAATTTATGTTGACACAATAAGATGAAATAATCGAAGATAAATCCTAAAGTTACATAAATATACGCAATATCATTCGAGAATACACTTTAGTGTTGGATAATTGAAAGTAGTGAATGGGATTTGATAAAATTAGATTTAATGTTTTCTATATGAATTAATAATTTAACGAAAATATACGTTTTTAACAATCGGTCATTTTATATTTTCCTATTTAATTATTTGGAGGGGGCTTTATATCAGTAATTTGGCCAACAAGATCACGAGTCATTAGAATATTTCTCACATCGATTGAGACACTCGAATGAAAATATATCACTTTTAATGTCATGTCCCAACCATTTATTTGGAGCGCTGGTTTAATGATGATGGTACTCATTTTACAACTGGCAGATTGTAAATATAAACATCGCCTCATTTGTTGCAGCTTCATTAAATAATTACTAAGACTAGCTGTCATAGAAAACAATTAAATCGAGCACGTGGAACTAATTACCTTGAAAAACTTCATTCTCAATACATCAAATGACTGGTTAGAATTTTACATAATCTTAGTGCATTATGCTTCAAAAAAAATAAATGAGACAAGAATTCAGTAAACTCTTCCGATCAATGAAAACACATATATATGTTAAAATTGATAGCATATTGTTGAACATTTCGTGAATTTTACGTAAAAGTTTCACATTATATTACTGAACCCATAGATAATATTGACTTGATAATCTCAGCTGTTACCACTAGAAAAGCAATTAATGTGACGTAGAACATTTGCTCTGTAAAATTATTGAAACAGCAACGTTTCCTTTTCATAGAATGGATGAATAATAACTAGCAGTGTAATCTGGTATGTGCATTTCATCTTATTTTAGACTTATCAATTGGATGCAACTGCAATTGAGTAGTGATATTCAAACAGAGACTGAAAGACAGTGTTTAGCTTCCATTTAAATTAGTCTGTTGTTGATATTCAGAAGTGAATTTCAACTGGTTTTCTCGGCACATGGGTATCCGGTACAGATTGTCATGATATAGCCATTTTATTGCATTTTTCCCACAATAACGTTTCCTTTCAAAAGATTTTGGTTAGCTATAAAGTCGTGATAATTTACATTCATGAGATATACCCTAACTGATAATTAATACTATAGCTATAAGCCATAATTCACCTACATAATCACAACTTTATGGAATTTTATAAGTTTTCTGAAAAGAGAAAGTTCATGATCGATTTTTTTAGGAATCCATTTTAAGTTAGACAATAATTTCACAAAACGATTGAACTGCAGCAAGTAACAACATCCATGGTCATTCATGTCTACGTCTTCATAATAATAAAATCACTATTTAAAAATAATGTCAATAACTGTGAAAATAATTTACTGTCTGAGAAATATATAATCAACAATTCCAAAAATGTAGACATATTGACTGACATAAAAACAAGTCACAGAGAGAGAGAGATAAAACTTGATTATCGGAATGACGATACGAATTGAAGCAGTCTCTGATGTATTCACACATTATTTGTTACCTAATGTCAAGAAATAGGATAGTTGAGTTTAGACATTTTATATTGTGAAACTCTTAATTCATGGATAATCTAATTTTCTGAGTATTATTATAAAAAATTCGGTTTTTGTTTTTAAACTGAACTATTTCAAACCTATTTGATAAATATGTGCTTAATATAAGATGAAACCTTCACGAATGTACCAAAATCAGATTATTAGTTTCAATCACAACTTATCAGTCAATAGTACATTAAAAGTGTTGACGACATTCTGTCCTAGTATACTTATTTCATGACTACGTGTTTGAAAGTCCTTCTAATTGATTCATCTACTAGTTAGTTTACTGACAATTAACAATCCTCATACGAAAATTCTATATATGCGGGTCCTTGACTAATTGATTAACTTTTTTGTCAAGTTAACTTCATCCTGAGTCATTTCTATTACTAGATCGTCACATGTAGCAATAAGATTGGAAGTAAATGAATGGCATTTTTAAGCAAAGTATCATATTGGTTTGCAGTGAAATCAAGATGTACGTTACGTTCTATTTGAGACTCATCAGTTGAGTGTACCGGCATTGTAATACTAATGTTCTCATCAAAACTTGAACACAGTACCTTTTGATTCAAACGCCCAATGCATTGACCATGGAGCTACTGAGTCTAGATGGCTCCTGGCTTGTGGAACCAAGATGATTTTCATTTCATCTGTAAGGGTTTGTATCATCCAGTTCTTGATGTAAAGTGTTGGGAACGCTTCGAAAAGCACGATTAAGCTTCCTGAGGTGCTAAAGGAGCCGAAGAGATTCCATCCAACCAGAACCTGATCGAGCCTTCTAGAACGTCAACGTGGCATGCTATGAATCGACAATACCTTAACTTGCCTTGAGGATTGGCTGAATTATAATGATATTACAGTCAGTACTAGTAACTATGAATACCCATGTTTTTCTGCACATTTTTTATTCTTATCCAATAACCGATTCCCTTGCTTTTTCCATCTTCTGATTTATGATTGAGGGGTTCTACGCGTTCGATCGTTGTTAGTTGTATATCGTATTCTGCCGTAATCAAGTAGAAGACGAAGGGGACCGGAATTAATTAGTAATAGTTTATTTTTTATTTGTGAAGAAATACATAATTTAAAGACACTTCTCATTCGAAAAAAGTATCAGCTTGAAAGCCACAGAACACGAAAGGACAACTGTCTCAGATCATAGAATATAGGATACTTTAGTAAACCGCATCTATGGCTCAATGCGGGTATGAAAACGGGACGTTTGGGTGGAGTACTCGTTCCGAAATTTGCAGTTGGTGCTAGTTTGTGATGAAAATTACTTTCGTAACTACAAAAACTGAAATCTTCAAATCATTTAACATAATCAATCATTAATTACCAAAAAAATGTGAAATAAAAACCATCAAGGCAGAATAGAATGAAAACAATTAGTAACTTTTTTCAAATAGTTATTAGAAAGACTATCGCATGAAATGAAATAGTTTACGACGAAAAATACTAATCAACATATGCTATACTTATCAAAACAATTCTTTCCATTTTAAGTAGGGATAGAAAAACTGAACCTCTCAATTTTCTAGTTTATCTTCAAATAAAAATAGTAGTAGTTGTAATAGTAACAGGATGTGTCAACCAGTCAAAAAATTAATACATGCTGAATAGATGCACATATTATGCAAATTTATGTACATATTTCTCAGCATAAATGACTGGCGAAAAAACAAAACAAATCTCAACACAATAATTCTGAAGTAAAAAAAAAACAGAAAAGTTCGAACAGAAAAATAAAACAACCAACATAAATAGAAATAAGTAAAAACAGAAGTATCACCAATCATTTTCAAATTGATATATGGTGGTTCAAGTCTTTAGCTTGCTGACATTACGAACTGTGACTGATCAGTCACTTTGGATATTTGTACACCTTTCTAAGCGGATCGGCTCGACACTGTCATTTAGTCACAAGTATTTAAGTTGAACAGTAAGTATATGGAATCAGACGCTTAGTGGATAATGCGTTAGGAGTTCGAAGTGAATGATATTAGGTTTTAGTGCCTGTGTGAATGCTAAGGATGCGATACTGACGAGTCCCTACTAGGACAGGAGCTACATCCTAGGTTTCACTGCTACTCGCTACTCATCTTTACTTAACTATCGGTAAATGTAAAATAAGTGAACGATAGTAAAGAATGAACTAAAAATAGGGTGGGCAGATAAACGAAAAGGTAGAAAAGCATCACTTACTTCATCATCTTTGTACCAAGTCAATGTATCTGTAGTTAATACGAACCAACAATAACGACTACCCCCACGCAATAGACTTGGATTGATCAAATTAAGCCACCCTTTACAGATTACCTAAAACAAAATAAAAAATAACAAAAAGGATGGATAAGTGGTACATAGGCATGATTCTATGAAATTAAATACGGTTGTACAGGATATAATATCGAAATAGCGTCAAGAATACCATAACTTGTTCGAAATAAAATGAAATACCGGCCAAATAATAGGGAAACGAACTGCTGCGAAATTGTAGAAGTAGGAGAGTAAAACGTCATATAATCAAGAGGTATGTACACAACGACAGTATTTAATAAAATATACTGTCAAGTTACAAAAAGAAACACAGCCAAATTTTTTTGCAGCCAAAAGGATTCGTTTTTCACAAAGAATGTAGTAAAAAACTACATTTATTTTGAGTGATATTGTCTCAGGCCACTGAGTTGTTCTATCTTAAACAACTCAACCAGGGAGTTGTGATACGTGGACAGATTCCAATCTCATAGCTCTATCCTTCATAGTACGTTGTACACCATAAACTGGCCAACTTATTAAATTTTCCACGGAATTATGGTATTGCGAAATGATGTGTAGTGCGGAAACAGAGGGAATAAAATTCCTAGAACTTGGTCAAGCAAACGAAATTGGTATTTCAAGATGATTAACTGGATTATGGCTACTAGGCTAGAACACACTGCAGAACCTCGTCACTACTAATAGTCAGTTCACTAGGAACGAAAATGAATAAACTTATGTACAAAGAAGGCCACTGCAATCCACCAGTTGAGCCTTACCTTTGAATACAAAAACAGTGTGTTCAGTCCTTCATTCTACTATAGTCTTAAGTTCCGTTTTTATTATCAGTTTTATTTCATTATTTCTACTCTTTCCCAATTACATTCACAAGTTTCAATTATTTTCATAATAGCTGTCAAATGAAAAATTATCTTCATCTTACCACTTTTTCACCGGCCGATTATTGCGTAACTTCATTATCTGATTTCTAAGTCTTGACAACATACCATTTCAAGTTTTTTTTAATACTTAGCACTATTCTGTCTTACTATAGAACATTATTTTAGCAAATAAAATAAACTACAGATACGATTGTACAGCTTAAGTTGAGAGGAAAATATTCTTCGTTGAATTGCCTTTTTTCTTCAGTGGCATGGTACTGTTGCTCAATGCCAGTAATATTCCAGAGATAATGGTTGTGTTTGGACATAGTAAGCTCGGGAAGTCCAGGTTTCATAAGCACAACGGAAGAAATGCTCCCATCGATACGTTGTAATTTCGACCTTTTAGAGATAAACTAAAATGATCAAAACGCAGAATGGAGTCCATAACACTAGGACTAACACGGCTACTTTTGATTATTTTCAGGGGTAAGTGGCGGCAACAGAATACTGTTAATCAGACGAAAGTACTTCGCGTTTCTAAGGTCAACAGCAAATACCATACGTAGAAACTAACTGCAAATTGATTAAGCGATACTCAAGCAGTCTACATTATCACCACACAACAAGACAATGTCATCCACGAATTCGATAGAGAAAAATCATTCTAGAGGAAAATGATAGCATCGATCAACCAATATATTATAAAACTTAAAGACACATCCTTATTCAACTAATAACATCAAAACGCAGTGACATTTAAAAAATCAAGGGTGATCTTACAGACAGAAAACACAAGGGTTGTCGGATTTAAAACCGTTTAGGAGTGTTTTAGCATATAGTGGAGGGTAAAAAAAGTGGTCAATACACCCACGACGTAAACAATTTTCACACTCATTGTGACTCAATCTTTCACCAGTTTTGTACAATCTGTGACATATGGCGGAAACATAATTTGTTCACAATGTCACACTTTGATGAAGAAGTTTAATATACACTAAACTTGTTTCAACCACATATGATATTGTATGCAAGAAATAAGACCTAGTTACTGAAAATGAAATATGTAGAGGAGAATCCGAACAAGATATTTAATAAGTCAAGTGTATAAACAAGTGATTTAAAATTCAACCATATTCGTAACTGGTATGAACACGTTTCGATAAGCAACCGATCAACGTGATATTTTTCAGAGTTGAAAAAACTATATTTTTAAACATCCACCTACAGTTGGTTGCTAATAATTGAAGCTATTATCTTTTATTGGTAGAATCAAATAGCAAAATTTTAATACTCTTTTAGTTCATAAATAATTTTAAGCATGAACAAAGAATCAGAACATTAGTGAGTAATGCCATAGTAATTGGAGCAATGGATAGTTGGGTTTCCATTGAAAGAGCAAAGCCCAAATTGATCGATATACTGATGCAACTTGAGTACAACAAAAGGTATATGTGCTTTAATATTTACTTTTTTTTAAACAAAGCAGTTTACAACTAACTGCAAATTTGTCTATTCAGTATTTCCCCTATAAACAAGTGTGTAACTAATCAGCTATATATAACGCTTATATTATTTTAATTTGGTAACTAAAGTTCAATTGCTTCACTTGTTCATAACATTTCTAGTCTAAACGTTCGAGAAAATTGTCAGTAACAAATCTCTGTACTGTTAGCGAAATAAGTTTAACTATCATTGCTTAATAATTAATGGAAACTATTCACATTAAAGTGTCAGTCGACTGGGTGAATCACTTTTACACTTTCTTTGGACAATGTGATATATATATATATATATATATATATATATATATATATCATTCTTGAAGGATTGGATATAAAATGAACCTGACGTATTCTACAGAATAATAATGAAAAGTAATCAGGGGCCGATAGCAGAATATGAGATGGTAGTATTATTTGATATGAAAACAAAGATATCATATATCATATACAAACTACAGATTACTGTTAGTGCTATAAATTCATTAATACCACTTACTTGATTGCCAAGTTTACTTTTGGAACTATCACTTGCTCGTTGCTCAGCACTATGAAGAGTGGGAAGACAGAAAAAGAAATAGACAGAAAATGATTAATTTATCAGAGGACTTTAAAATAACTATCAAAATGAGGTTGAAGGAATTGTCAAATTCTATTGACATTAAGAACCCATATAAGTTAGACAGTTATTGAAAGCCTGGAAGCACCGGACGACCGTATAGCCCTAACACGGAACTCTTCAATAGTGTGCATTCACAACCTCGCGACGGGTAATCTAATCTAGAGCCAGTTTCACGTATAAACTCAGTTCCTCTCTAGTGATGTAGAAGTCTAAGTTTAATCAATTCATTTTATGACGCAACCATCTTAAATAGTTTATCGAGGAGTTGAAAGATATGTAAGTGAAATGTCAGCGATTAGCCCACACAAAGATTTTTAACTACTTCGTACACATCGCACACTGAGTAGTTATTCACATTAATGCATAGGCAAAACAGTAATCATGCACAGATCTGCGTACTACGGATTGAGCCACATCTTTCTGTGGGAAAGCTGATAACAGTACTTGGATTCTTAAATTGAAGCAGGGTTTAAACCTTCAAAAGTTTTACAAGATAAACCTGTCTACAAACACAACAAGTAAAAGTATAGGTAAAATACATTTGTAAATTGATTCTCCACAGAGAATGTGTGAAAAGACGTAATACAAACGATTTGTGTAGAATAAATTCGAGAAATCAATCATAAAAGATTTAAGATTGACATTTTACAATTTTTGTGCTTTTTTGTAACGCATGCAAGTTTTAGGTACGAATCTTGAATGTTATACGTGATCAACAGATATTGAGTTACGATATCAAAAACTGTGTATACGTAGAATCTAAATATTTAAGGATTAGGACAAAATATACCTCACTAACACTTCATTGGAATTAGCCGGTAGTATTCATCACAGATTCACTTCAGTTTGCGTACTACTCCAAAGCAGGGAGCACTGGATAGCTGTTTCGTCATGATATGGAACTCCGCAGTAGTGTGCAACCATGATACCTTGAGGACCAAACTCAAACCCCTCAGGTCTAAGGGTAAGTTATTAGCCATTAGGACTAGTACGTTATTGTTTGACAGTAAACGTTTGCATCTTCACACGATTCGTGTTATAGCGCGACGGTCATTCAATGGGACTGGTGATGACTTATTTACTGTAAATATCCCTGAACTATACAGACAAGGGATTTTCACTGAGACATCAAGAAAGTCAATGGTAACGACACGACTATAGTCCTAATGAAGAGACTTTCTGAGGTCACGTGTACACACTACTAAGGAGTACACGACTACGACGAAATAGTTGTCTAGTACTCCTTGATTTTCAATGGTACCTCAATAGAAGTCTATTTATGACGAATACCACTTATAAATTAAACCAACCTCCACAAAAACCCTTCATTGGCAGGTTTTTTGGAAGCAAAGAGTAAATCAAATGCTAGTATCATGCTTATATACTCCGCAGTTAGGTTATTAAAGCATCCTCCTTTTAAGTAGTGGGTTGCAGGTTCAAACTTATCACCAACGACTTAGGTTTGCATAACCAGATAACTCTGGGAAATGAAAAGTGCAGTTTAAACCACAGTCATTCACCCAGTCACTTGACAAGCAACATATTTATTTATAGTTAGAGTAACTGTGATTCATTTAAACATGCTTGAATGCAGACAGGGTAAGTAGCAAAATCATACTACACTAAATTGCTCATTTGTAGTGGATATATTCTAAAAAATAACCTGATAAATCGTTATTTCAGAATTTTAAAAAAATAATAACTGCACACAAGTGTGATTTTAAATGTACAACTGATATTATACAATGAAGTTTGATTCAAATGAAGTAATTATATTCTAATATGCAATGTATATGAAGATGAAAACATACTAAGAATAGACAAAAATTTACATTCTTTAGACAACAGGTCATTTCTTAGAAATTCGATTAATATATGCGAACTTCGTAAATACGTTATTTATTTAAAACGTAAATGGTCATATAATAGAACTACAATTTATTTGGTACATTGTTAACACAATCGATGGTGTTATTTTTGTCGGTTATCTTGACTCTTTTCATTCTTTGAAAAATCTTATTTGCATATCCACGTATGAATCATCTGCGTAAACAAAATTACTTATTAATAGACTAATTTCATATAGTATTACTTGACAGATTTAGTTTCAGGAGTAAAGAATTAAGTGAAAAGTTTGTATAACATTAAGATTAAAGACAACAGACATGAGATGATTCTATTGATTTAGATTCAATTGTTGGTTGTTACAGTTCGTTTTATTTCTAGTACAAATATTGTGCGGATCTACCGTGTGAATGTAGTGTATCAAATTAAACACACAACTAACCACGCCACGGCTTTTCATAATACAAATAAAGGTTAATTATGTAAGGTGACTGTTTAATTAATTCTTAACCACAAGTTGATCCAGGCCAAGTTTGAAACTTTATAATAGGAACTTCTACAGATTACACTACAGTTAACAGTTTCTAACTGTTAAATAGAACTAATATTAGCGGTTCATTTTAAATTTACCAAAATTATACAGAGTTATTATGATACAATTCCTAATGGATAGATGAAGAAAGAATGTAAAATACTTTAGTCACGTGTATGTACGATTTTTTAAGTTCTATACGTGACGGGACAAAAATCGGAGGTAAACAGATATGATATGGGGATTACATAAATGTTAATAATTAATGAGATTATTTTTATGACAAATATAATGAATAATAATACTGGGAGGTTGGATCTACTTTCGGTTTTCTAAACTACTGTTCATTAAGCGGACAGATAAACAGAGGAAAATGAAATAGGAATCACACAAATGCACCGATATTCGATAAATGGTCGATGAATTCAGACACGCCTGAAACCCATTAGCTTTATCTGACTTAAGCATGTCCTGAGCTCTGGATTATATTGGAAGCTATGGTTTCGGAAACCATACTGGTCAAGATGATAATTGTATGACAATTGTGAGATAGTCCCTATCCTTTAGTATGTTCAGCAATCAACTTTCGATCAATCTCACAAATTATAAAAACAGAAAAGACATCTGGTATCAAACCGCTCGATGCCTGTAATTCTATTTCGTATTCAGTTATTGAGAACTGACTCAATCTTTAAAAAAGATTGGAGTCTGGTGTCCAATCATCATTTAGTCTGCTCATCAAAGTGAATCGCCCAATTTTCAAATGAAACACTGCTTGCCTGTAGACCTAGTCTCCTTAGAGACTTACTTACTTTACTTACGCCTGTTACTCCTCGTGAAGGAGCATAGGCCGCTCACCAGCGTTCTCCATCCATCCCTGTCCTGGGCAATCCTTTCTAGCTCCGTCCAGTTGTAATTCATCGTTTTCATATCTGCTTCTATTATCCGACGCAATGTGTTCTTTGGCCTTCCTCCTTAGAGACCCTAAGCAATAAATATTTCTCATCACTGTTGTTGTTTTATACCCTCGGTTAATTTCCACCACAACTCATAAGTTATTTAAGCAGTATCCCCTTAAGTTACTTTGAAACCTTATCATGTTCTGAATCGGACCGAGATCTATTTCCCACGATCTCCCAATTCATGAGGCAATCAAATTCGCTGAATTTTCATAGCTTTCTGGTGGAGACTGACCGACGAACGCCACTGATGCTTATACAAAAGATTTAAAACTAAAGGGTGGAGTTTAACTATATGCTTACGGATGAAAATATGGTCTATTCGATTCCCCTATTGAGTTAATGTCAGAGGTTCCTAAGTCAAACAGTACCCCCCCCCTCTATTTACGAATTTAGTTTATGCTAAAAGCAGATAGTTAGAAACAGTTGTATGAGATGACCATTACCATAGTTCAATTGTTGTAGAACATTGAAAACCTCACCATAGTGTTTTTTAAGTTGTCTTTACAACTTACTTAAACACTAATGTCATTTAACATAATAACTAAATCTGGAGGCCTAGCTTTTAGATCAGGAAGCATACACTAAATTTCGTCTTCATTTCACCTGAACCCCAGTTATAGCGGGAGTGTAACCAGATATTTTAAAAAGAGAATGCTGAATATTCCTATCCTTCTGAACTCTTACTGTCTCACCTAAGTGAACAACTTACAAGATATATGTTCAGTCCAAATATGTCCATTCTGGTTTTAAATTAAATGATCTACCTACATTCACAATACTACGAGTTGATGTCAACTCTCCATACACCTTAGGAATGAAGCACGATGGCTTTCCACAATGGCTAAATGATGTCAAGTGAATAACCTCTATTGTCCTGTACGTGGGTTTTAGAAGTATATATGATTCGGTATTCGGAAATCTGGCTATTGAAGCGTAATGTCAAATTTAGGGCAAGGTTTGACGCCGCAAGCTCGAACATATATTTTGGATAAAGTATTAAGGAGACAAAGAATAACATTTCGTAAGACCGAACTGATAGGATTCATTGCACACATGGGAGAAGATACAGCCAGATAGACATGATAAAAGGACATCTACATGTTAGTTGTGAATAGGATTAAGTCAAATATAGCGTGAGGCAGGTGAACGATCGAAACATCTCGGCTACATATACTGTGGTAGGATATTTCTACTGCACAAAACTGGAAAATTACCATATTAATATAAATAGTTTATCAACAGAGAGGGTTAGACACAAAGCATAGAAAATCACTGTTCGGGGTCAATTACAGTCAGGTCTTGTGAACATTTGTTGTAGTGTTGGCTCTTTACATTTCGAATTATTTCACAAAGGTAAAAAAATCCGTTGAACATAAAATTTCCCAATTTTAGTGCCAAGATTCCTAATCTCTTTGTTTAAAACTATTCACGTTTAAAATGACAAACATTTGGAAGAGATTTTAATGGATGTGTGAACAATCATGAGTCAACGGTAAATAATACAAAAACCTCAATACTATAAACATAGTACAACAGGAGATCTCTTACTACTAGCGAATTCCTCATCAAAGAAACTTTGTGACTATTTCAAAGAGTAAAATATGAGAATTCGACCTTAACCACTGTAATCTAGAACAAACATTTTATCTCAAATCCTTGCTTATTAACTAAATGCTTAGATTTTCATTTCCCTAAACGTGAGTTTGTAGATTGTGATTAGAGGGTAGATTAGTAAATTGTTCTAAATACCATAATGTTATTGATCAAATAACCATATATTGTTTAATACCTTCTAGTTGTTGAATACATTTTTATTATGACTTCTAAATAAATAAAGAATTATCTCACAAATTAATTACTTTTGGAAACCAATAAAATCTTCATGATTTGTATTCATATAAGCTAATTGAAAATCAATTAATGTTTGAATTTGTTCTTTAGTAGCTATTTCTAATTCACGAACCCGCATATTGACAACACGTTCAATTTCTTCACGAAGCCGTGGAAATCGTCCTACCTATGATGAAAGCAAAATTTAAAAATAAAGAAACAGAGAGAGAGAACGCGTGAAAGAAAAATTATAATATAACATACTAAAGATTAGATAAGAAAATATATTTTTAAAAAAGTGAACAGATACATAGATAGTTACCAAAGGTAAGTAAAAGTTTAATTTCAGAGTTATTATGAGAAACAGAAACAAATTGCAACCATCTAAAAACAGACGTACATGCAGGCTGATACGTTTTTTTTAGAGGCGATAAGCTTTAAATGATACATCATAAGATAATATGGTAGTGTATGAATGAGTATTTATGTAGAAGGGGTTGGAATATTTTATCAACATAACTAATCAGATTTTCTTTTACTTAATTTTTCGCAATAAGATTAGATAGTAAAATGTGTGCACATATGAAGTATCTAATCATACAGATAACTAAGTAAAATGGTTAATTTACGTTAAAATAAAGTATGACTTCATTTATCAGATAAATACAAATCATGACAACAGATGTTTCAGACTTTAGATAATGCATACACCACAGGAAACAGTGATACTAGCAGGCTTAGTTTGCAGTAATCATAATAAATAATAGAAATGATCTCTTTCTATACGGAGCAATTGGGGTGAACATTTAACTGATATATATATATATATATATATATATATATATGATTTTATGATAATCAATATGTCATAATTTATCGTGTGTTAAAATAATCATCATGATTAAATAAATATTTCGGTGGGGATTCGTTCTCTGAGCTGGATGGTTTGGTCGTGGAGTTTTTTATTGTTCTTCTGAACAACATCATCACAAACTTCAAGTAAAAGTGAAGTATTCGAATTTCTCCACATGTGACTCATAGCTTGTCCTGTCGACCTCTTTCTTGACTAATTAATCAGCTCAGCGAATGAAACTTCACCCAAATCATTCACTTGAGCTACAAATCTTCTCCACTATCTCACAAACAATAAATAACTGAAAATTATTCAAAATAACCGAGTACTACTGGATGGTATTTTCCTTTTAAATCACATTCTCATCAGTTAAAAAGACTCGAAACAATCATACTTAAGAAATGCCAAGCAGTTATTGCTGACTGTTGAATCATTTGTGAAAAATCCAACCAATGATATTGAAAATTTATTTTACTTGGAAAAACAAACACTTTGATTCGTGTTGTCATCATATTTTCATTGTGTTTTTAAATCACAACGATTTAGATACAAAACCGATGAGTTCGCACAGAAAGCATATATTTCTATGGAAGGACTAAGTATGAATGACAAATAAAATTGTATTGATAGAGTGGAGATTATAATCAGTGTGAGTAGAACTTACATGAATATTACATAACAATCTAACGAACGTGACCTCAGTTTGTTTAAAAGTTATAAACAGTGATGTAATTGTTGTAGAATCTGAGAATTTTGTGTACGTGTTCGCTTTTATAAAAAAAGTGTTATTCATGACTGTACTAGTTAGTGAAAGACAACAGAATAGATGGTGAAAATTTTTAAAAAAGACACTTATTCAATGTCTTTTGAAATTTTAATAACTGATCGACTGGTTCAGTGAAAATTAGTGGTTGAATATGTAAACAGGTATTATTTTCACTTTGTTCAATTATTATTTCTCTATAAACTAGTATCACATTGAAGTTTTATGATGACTTCAATTTCTCGAATTCATTTATGATATGCACAATCCGGAATGTACGATCACTTACACACATACACTTGGATGAACACAAAGAACAAACACGTGATATATGAATTAAGCATAATGATTATAGAAAACATTCAATTTATTTCATGCAGATGATTGGTTATTTGTTACTATGCCTTCATCGTTAACACAGAGTGGTATATTTTCATATAAAAGTAACTGTATGTGGTCTTAAATTGGTGGTTGATTTATGAGAGAGGTAGAAAACCAATATACGCTTATAAAAAAGCTCACACGAATTAATGTTTGTTTATCCATACAAACTCTTTTATGCATGTGATAAAAGCTTGATATATTTTTGTCAAATGAAACATTTAATCCAATAAAATGAAAATCAGTCCTTAGAATACAATGATTACAACACATGTTCTAAAAACAATAATTATCAAGGGTTATCATGCGTAAATATGACATACTGCAAATAATTTCTTAAATATTAACAAAAAGATGAATCATATTTCTTCTACCGGACTTGATAAATCATTTGTTAAGCTACATCTAGTGTACAAATTGCAAAAGGCTTGTACATTTTTGTAAAGTAACTATGTTTCTAGGATATAATTTATTTAAGTTCAAGTTTTCCCTGTTGTTTATCCTCAAGAACGAAGACAGAGGAATATCGAAAAAAGTTAGGCTAGAACAAAATATAAATGTATAACCGTGTCGGGTGTGAAGCAGTTACCTACTGAAGACAATAGAAGATGGTCGTGCGATATTACAGAAGTTAGATATTAACACTGTTGAATACTGGCTCAATAGTTCTAGAGGTTAAGTGTTCGCGCGCAAATTCGCGGATGGGCACTGCTGAGGAGTACCATAGTATCACAAAACGGCTGTCTAGTGCTTCCAGTTTTTTAGTGGTGATCTAACATTGATCAGGTCATGGTTTCAATGAAATAAATTTGAATTAGGCAAAAATAAAAAACTGGGGGGGAGAATAATGTAAGCTCACTATATATCGCGGTTTCTCTTCAGCTACTTACAACCATATTCATATTAAAGTGTAAATTCGGAGCATACACTTCAATACGAATAGAGTTGAAAGCAGCTGAAGAGAAACTATAATATATGATGGGTTTACATCATACTCCCCCAATTGTTGTCCTGGCCTAATTAAAGTTCATGAAGGGAAACAATTATCTGCAATTTTTTATCAATGAGTTATTTTGTTAATCATTTCAATTTGTGCTGAATAGTGATTCAGACGGTACAGAAAACTTTGAATCCTGTCAGTATTTTTAGCAGACAGAACTTTGCTGTCCGTTCATTCTAGATGAGGTTACAGCTACTCATAAGCATAACAAAAATATATGATTACATACTTAAGTGGAGTAATTAGGATGAGGTTATCATGAATGAATGTCAATGAATGTGTAAAAGTATGATTATTTAACAGGTAGAGTTATTTCAAACAATTATTCTTTAACAGGGAAAATGGAGCTTTGAAACAGAATGAATACAGGTTTATTCTGCAAGATCTTCCTGTTTTTGTTTTGTACGAGCTCATCAAGAAGCATGAAATGTACGAAAAATAATTAAGTAGAGAATGGGAACTTTCTTGAATATATTATCTACATATATTTCTATTCGTAACAATTTGATGGAGTATTAGAAAAAGACAAATAATTCATTTCAGAAAAACAGATAAGAACAACTTTCTCTACACTTTTGTATGTATCATGCTATAAAATATTAGTTTGGTAAACAAAAATAACTGGGTTAATTTGTATAAACAACAATAATGACAAGAAAAAAAACTAATAATCTTACTACACTGTAAACACAATCACATCTTTAGGACTAGCTGACATAAAAACTAAATGGTAAAACGAAGAAAGAATATCTATTACATACAGATAAATATACAACAACAAATATTAGAATCGAAGTGAAAAAGTGGAAACGTACATACGTAATAGCGAGAGGATTACATGGCAATTGTGACGTAACATACAGATTAGATGAGTGGATTAAAGTTGGTGAAAAAAAATTCAGGAAAGTGTTTTATGAAAAGATACTCATGTACACGAGTACGCATGCATATACATATTCATACATACATACACACATACTACACACGTGTAATATAAACACAAATATATACAGAAAAAGACATTAAGTCATCAACAACACTAATTTCATACTAACATTTGATGATATGTTGATAACTTATGATTCATTAAGTATTCCGTAAGCGAAACGTGTATAATCTGGTGATAAACGGATGAAAGAATATTAAAGAGAATATCTAGACCAAACTGCTGTAGGATAGTTATATACATATAATACTTGACTTGATGGTAATAAAGTCAGTGTAGAAACGAGTAATTAAATGTTAATAGTAAAACAAAAAAAACAGCCACTTTTATTAAAAACGTTTCTTCACGCACTGGTATAATCCGAAGAGTAATGGAAACGTATAAATTAGAATTCAATGGTATCGTGAAAGTTATCTTCAGATTTAATCGCTTTTCACGAACTCGGGTAATTAGTTGCCATGCGGTGACTAAGTATTAGGACCGAGATAGATCTCTAGTTGTTCTACTGGGAAGCCAGTATCTGTAATGTTATGATTCAGTTGCTACTTATTGAATGACTTTCGATCTGTTCTATGAACTGACTACAGTTAAGAACGTGAACCGAAGGATTTCAAATTATGAGTCTAAAATATTGTGCTCCCAGTAAAAATTATGTTCAACTGAAATGAGATAACGATGCAACTTACTGAGTACAGAATCGTGTACTCAGCTTTGAGTTACGCCTAACGTGTGAGAGCTGGTGGACACTAAACAATTCTTCAAACTGAAGAAGCAAGGGTATACAAACCTGCAACCTAGTGGTTGGAAATAGAACTACTAAACCACAGCTCCATAAATATATATAGTTGCGAAGTTTCCGAATGGGAGTAAATAAATATCTAATACACCTTGAATTTTAATTGTTTTCTAGACTCATGTAAATCCGTGACGAAAACTGTTTTTGAATTGAACAGACCTCCACAAACTAGCAAAACGAATTTCAACAAAAGACAAAAAAGTATCCGACAGATGAACGCAATTACTAAACATAATGATGATTTCCGGTAAAATGGCTAGTCAACTAGATGGGATGTTTTGTACTGAGGATGATACAACTGGGAAAAGGTATAAGAATCGATGTTTGGGGTAACCTGTTATTTCTTTTTACAACACTGAAAGACAGAATATGGATCTGTAGGAGACTTTTATAAACATTTTTCTTTCGGTATTGAAAAAGATGTTTATTGACTCGCTATTTCTGTAATAGGAAATTACTTTGTGCGAATTTTTCGCTGATGTGATTGCTCAAAAAGAAAATATCTATTACTATGGATGACCTTAAAACTATTCTAAAAATTCAGAAAACGCACAGTAATCCTAATCAAACGAGGCTTCTAGATGCACTTACTCACAAGTTCTCATTTCATTCCACTTCAACCTATCAACCAGATACATATGAAAGCATCGCAAATTCCATTCGTCAATCCAATTATGATCCTGAATTTGGTATCATATTTGATTCCAAGTTCCATCATTTCAAAGACATATTCCGTGTCGACTGCTGAGATCTCGATGATGCAACTAAAGTTTGTCTACTTTTTAGAAGACTTGGAGCACGTGAATATAATAAATCTGTGAATATCATCTTGCCACACTATCCTTTGTTTTCTGATACAGTCCAAATATTTATCTAAAACCAACTGGCTGAGAGCCGAGTGTTTTACCTATTAAGTCACTACTTCTTGAATCATTTTACTATGCAAAAACATTTGATCAATAAATTTTTATTAATAGGATGGATTGCCAAATAATAATAACGGTATATCGAATCATTTAACACAAAAAAGCGATACTTTTAACCGTAAATATATCGTTTAGTTTCTTAACCTTGTATATTAAAAGTGCTATAACATAAATGTAGATGCAAATTGTGACAAGTGAAGAATAGACTAAATGCATAGTCTTATTCAAAAACAATAAAAGACTCAAATCAAGACGTGGCATTAGTTCATAAAGTCAGTGATAACTGGATTGAGTCGTGTAATTACGTCCAGACTACTAGGTTGGGATCTACACCAGTATCATAACTATTGGTTAGAGACTTTGAATGTCATGGCTGAGAAACATTCGCAATGATACATGTACATGCACTCTTTGTCTTCCCTTAAATCATATGTTCCTTATTTATCAGAACGAAAATTCTTAATTCTACGAATCCATATTGTCAAATTATATCCTACATGTTTAATCTTTTCTATAACCATTAATACTGTTTTTACATATGCTACTCAGGTATCTCGTTATATTGTAGACTGGCAATTTGAACCGATAAATAAATGTTCCAAGTTTTATTTTTTGTTTATTTAACTGATTGAATTAAAAACGTAAATAAAGAATAATACATCATACGAATTAGTTATTATGAAGTACATGTAAATAGATTAAGTAAATAAATAAACATATACATATTGATTTGGATTTATTAGTGAACAAAGGCAAAAGATGGATATACCAATCGATAAGTGATATATTGATTAATTATTTAATGAGATACACAACCCATTTAATATAAATTAGCATAAGAATGAATGAGCAAATATTCAATGTGTCTTTCATCTAGATCATATGACTGTTAAATATTTATACAGAAATCAAGCTGAGTAAACAATTAGTTTCTCAGACTCCAATAATGTTCATTTTCATAAGTGAGGGTTTAAGTTTTTAAAATAATTGGTAGCAGGATAATTCAGTACAAACTTCTCTATTTGAAGCATTAACACAAATCAATTTAGAAAGAAATTACGGAGAAGACAAAACCATGAAGCATTATTTTGAAGAATAGCAAATAACCTACTAGCGCATAACACGGTTAGCCATGCTATATTAAAATTATCGTGAATAACTGATAACATACCACTGAATCCAATGGTCGTTAGGAGAGGGAAAGGGAAGAGTTCAAATTTCGATGATTGAGAAAAATCTTAGGCTTCGAAATGTTGAACATATTCAGAGAACATGTGATATCAAACCCCTACGGTAATCACTGGACTACTCAATTTTTGTTAATAATGTTAAAGCCTTACTAGTAGCGGTAACTGTGTACATTTTTCTAATTGCATTTTTCGCGTAATCTCAGGCTTCTTCTAATTGCCCTTCACTGCTGTACAACTGCATTAATAGTTGATTTACAGTTGAAATAATCTATTTAAAGGAGGAGTACGATTACATCATATCATTTGTCAAGGAAAATAAGGTAATAATCGAGAATTGAAGAGCGATAATAAAATGAAATCAAGTATGTTAATTGTCCACCTGACAAATATGTGATAAGTGAAGAATAAGTTAAAAACGTGAAGCTGATAAGAAGGAATTAAAATTGAGAAGATTGAGAACATCGGAAAGATGTATTAACAATCAAATAAGAGTTGGTGAAAATTAAGTGTCAAAACAATGGAAAAATGATGGCTTATTATTATTAGTATTATTATTCATGTCTAATACGGACCTTTAGGGCATATCCTTATGTACTATCAAAAGGAATTACCCACACGGTGTACATTCAAATGTCCAGTATGGATTTAATTACGAGTTCTACAGGCAAACTGATGACATCGCTACGGGTTAACCACTCAACACTTCCTAGTGGACTGTTTCATGACCAATCTTAAGAACACGGTACTTAAAACAACGATTGGCAACTTTTACTTAAACAAAAGGTATATGGATGACACTTGATTATTTGTGATGAAAACGGTGACCTTAATGTCATTCTGGATAAATTCACTGGTTGGTATCAATCCATCAAATTTAGTTGCAATCAGAATCGAATTCCAAATCACAGTTCCTCGATGTCTTATGAAACAGAACACCAAACGGTAAAAGGAGGCACCATATATCTATGCGCCACACTTCGACATTCGATTTGTAGGAGGGCTGAAATACTGCGCGGGAGCCCAAACCACAGCAGAATTTTCATAGCTGAGTCCCATTAAACCGAAAGAGAAACTTGATTCAATGTTTATCAGAAAAGACCAGACGAATAGGCTCAGAAAGCACGATACACGATAGAGGAAATATTCAACCTACAACATATATGCCTCAAAAACGGTTATATACACAGGTTTGTTGAGCGAAACATGAAACGAGGATTACAATTTGCAAGAACTCACACAGTTCCTAAGACAACTCTTCATGAATATTGAGTTCATCTTCAACCAAGGTACTGCTGTAGAGATTTTGTAGAATCGTCCAGCGAAACCTTTGGGGGAAACTTTTTATGCTGGCTAGCTTCATACCGTCCTTTCCAACTGTCTCATCATTCACGGATATTTCAAGGACAAACTCTCGCATTGTTTATTTATACGCTTAACTGTTCTTGTGGAGCACGTTCCATTGGCCACACAAGGCAAACGCTTTTTGAATGCATCGCCAAACATTTTCTTCACTGAATTGTTTTTAACTCTTTTTCAATGACACCGCAGGTTATTTTCATTGTTTGTTGGATAAACGTTTTACATAAGTAGGCAAATGATGCTGAACAGAGTAGATCTATTGCTAACTTAATTACTCAGAGTTAAGTACCTTAATTATTGAGTAAAAAATATCCTCAGGATTGTGGGATGTGAACTTACTTAAACGACTTCATCTCTAAATACCGCTTCCATCATAAAAAGATTTCAAAAAATATTTCCAGTTTCCAATGAACGTCTCTTCACTACAACAGAAAATTATTGCTAGTACATCGTTGGGAACAATTACGAGGGTGACTCAGAAACCGAAGGATAATAACTACCCTACAAGAAATATATAAGCTGAAGAAATCCTAATAGAACAAACATTGGATACAGATTTGTGATTCGACATTCATTTTGGAGAGAAAGTTAGTATCAATGTACAGAAGTATATTTCGTTGAATTTGTGAATAACTTTACCATGTAAATGAAAATAAATTGAAATATTAGCTCTTTATTTTCTCGAAATTTGCCTACCACTTGGCAACGAGTTATTTTCTCATGTGCCAAATGAAAAAGTTGCCAAACTTCTAAGCCATTGTAAACACAAAAAATTGACAGTTAAAAACTGAACAGTATCATGGGAGACTGGAAACAATTACCTCATCTATAGTAACGACAATCTAAATTTAAAGACCTACGTGGCCTAATCATTTGATTTTAAACTAAAAAGAAACAAAAATTTAAGGTAAATATGGCTAATTTATTTTAAGGACTCCTATGCTATTAGTTGGGATTTTTCTACATGGCAATTGCTTTCCATTTGTGTAAACACAAGCATATTTCCTTATTAAATATTTGAATAATAAAAAAACGTCGCATAAAATGGATAATTTATTTGTGTAATTAATCAATCGATTATATTTGCTCACCTTATCACTACATTGTTGCAAAACATCGGTCAATTTAGATACAACCATGTCAACACATTTTAATGATGGAATTCGAAGTTTTTCAATCTGTTTTCGTACTGTAGCATCAAATGCCATATCCGGTGTAAACAATCCAGGCCTTTATTACATATATTGTCAAACAAACAATTAAGCACAAGTTACTGAATTGGCAACATAATAGCAAGACTAATACTAATACCAATAACAGTGGTAATAATAATAATGATAATTGAATAGCAAAAATAATTATAATTATCATAGTTTACCTGTTTCGAATGTCAATAAATTTAACTCATCTCTATACAGCACATATATATGTATGTTAGATGAATGTTTACCATAATGTAGATAAACTAGTACACGACAATTCGCGTTACGTTCATATATAAAAGTATGAAAGTAACTTCACCTTTTGAATCAATTCTATGTTCGATACCAAACACAACAACTTGTCTAATACCTTAATTCCATTTAGGTTGAATTCGTATTCAACAATTAACGATGAATTACTTCAAACAGCTAACAGTGATAATTTAACTTTGTATCATTAAACATTAAGCTTAGTTGGACTAACACTAGAACATTTTAAAACTAGACTGTGAACACGAATGAATGACTAAGCATTACTGAATACTGAACTTGTCATTTCTAATTATGATGTTCTATGAAGTATAACTGAATCAGCTTAGACTTACGCATCACATGACAGTTTTCGTCAAGATTTCATTAGATAATCAGTATCTCCAATTTAGTTCAAATAACTCTTTAAAACTTTTATCTATTACTTCAGCCAAGATGGCGAATCATGGTGGCAGTAGTACGTTGTTTGTTGAGAATGGTCCAATCTATGCTGAGCACAATTTTCCTGAGTTCCCATTAATAGTATTAAAAATAGTATTAAAAGCGAATCTTTAGGATAAACTGAATTACATTATTCCGTCAAATTTGATTGATCGAGCAAAATCGATTTTTAATATAACCATAGATAAAATTCAAGTGATCGATTTCTACACAGTTCTCATCACATTTATACTGTAATATTTATGATTACAGAAGATTAACCAAACCTGAGAGTTTATCTAACAAAGTTGCGTAATAAGTACAAACTGGTTAGGACGTTTTGCAAGTTTAAGATTATATATATTCTTATAACATTTTGGTTTCCGATTCGGATTATACCTGATGAAAAGGGAATATTGAGATTCGTACGACAAGAAAGAAGATAAAACTGTTGGCAGATGAAGGCTTTATTCATTTTTAAAATACGGTAATAACGTATTAGCCGAATGCAAATTTACACACAGGTTCTACTGACATTTGATGTCTAGTCGATACATTTCATTCATGATTCAAAATAGTGGGAATATAAAAACGTATTTTACACTGAATTAATGTGAAAGAATATAATATGAAAAAAAACAGATTAATTTGTAATCATCTTGCGTTTTATCTCGTCCAAATAGATTTCACTACAACTAATCCAGCTACCCTACTAGTAAATGGTCATGGATCAGTAGAGCAAACCGGTTGACTTGAATATAAGAGTATGTGTAGAAAATGAAGCTTACAATGGTAATTTATCACGAACAACAAAAAAATAATCCCCATCGTTCCAAAACGATACTGTGAATTGCCTTGTGATATAGGAGTATATGTTACCAGAGAGTTTAAAGTGAACAGTGGAATATGGAGAACGAATTTGATGACGCTTCTGTATCTACTGGACAGACTGTACCAAACTTTTACAATCCAGATGAATACCCCTTGGGGATATTGATGTTGTTCAAAACAACAATTAAAATAGATTAGGTTCAGAGAATGTACTATTTCAATCATTACATTATTGAATACGAAATCATCAATAGATGGTCATCGGTAAAATCCTCTGCAAAGACCACTTACTTGATGCTTAAACGCACCTAAATAACTTCACGTACATTTACAAGTAATCAATAAAATAAGTAAAATCTACACAGTGAAATTCAATTTATAAATGAACAAAAATCTTTTGAGTTTATTACCTATTCAATCGTCTATAAGAAATTAAAAATAATTTTTTTACCTGACACCATGAATATTTTGAATAGCAACAGCGATTTCTTTGCGTAGAGTTTTTTCATCAAATTCAATCTTTAAATAAAAAGTGATATAATAATAACCATATAATTGTCAATAAACATATATGAAAAGACAAATTTTACACACAGATTTGTACGTATAGGAGGAAATGTTCATCTGTCGTCTATGAGGATTCCTATAGATTAGAAGTGTACTAGTTAATAAGGATAATTGATGGATTTAAACACGAACTCTGGTCACAGATTTTTGAATCTCCTATCAGTGCCACAGAACTTCACATTTGAGCCCAGAAGGGAAGACAGAAGATGACAAATACGGAAGGAGCCTTAGCTTTGACGTCAGTTTACGTACAAAACAAAAGTGTATTTTTAGGTTTATGGGTAATCTTGATATTCTGGAAAAGTGCAAAATTTAGTAAAAAAAAGTAGATAACTATCTAATCACAATATAGCACATAATCCATCGTTATTCCAGAAATCTCTGGAAGTCTCTATTGAACCCTAATTAGATGAAGTGTTTCCAGCCTTCTCTTAGCCTCCGAAGGTTTTTAGAGGAATTTCCAAAGGCTCCCAACAATTATTTAAAATACTAAGTTGTTCACTGTTTAAAGAAACTTATCGATTCGTACAATAAGAGAGGATGATTTACACCTTGAATGAAAAAATCTTGATGTATGAATTGTTTGACGTAGATTTATTTAATCGATGATTCTGGTGATATTGTAGATAATTGTATCGGCACACTAGATGCTTTTCTTAAATTTTAATGAAATTTTCTATACAACATACAGTAACTTATCTAGTTGACACTATATTACAGCTATTGATTACCAATTTTTGACAAATCGTCATGAATCAAATGGGAATTTCGTGCTGGAGTATTACAGAAAGATAGAAGTTTATGTTTAATCACCATATATAGACTGTCCCATGAAACTGAAATTCATTATTTGTCATCATCGGACCACGAGGAAATTGAGAACTGTAGAATACACTAAATACTTAGTTCAAATATACCATTTAGAATTTAACTGGTGAAGAAGGACCTCTTAATAAAGTTATAGCAAATGCATTGGAGGTACAGAATCTTGGATTTGAGTACCACAGTGAGAAGAAAAGTGAATCTATTAAGAAGTTTTAAAGTAAAACTATATAACTTATGGAAAAAGTATCAATTGATGCTAGATCATATACTTGAAAATAAGAATTTACATCTGAATATTAAACTAATTAGCCTCACTTCATTTCACTACATTCACATGAGATGAAGATTATGAACACTTATATGTGTGAAAAATTAAGTTTAAATTATTAAATAAAAAATATGTTTCGCAGAAACAAAGTAAACTAATTCAAAATTAACAGGTTACATTCACCACAGATTGATCTCAGTTGAGGTATCACTGAAAACTGGGGAGGAATGAACAAATATTTCATCCTATTATGGGACTCTTTAGCAGTGAGTAACCCACGACCACCTTAAGGATAGAACCCAGAACTTCGAGGTCTTGCAGAGAATACTTAACCAGTAGAACCACTGAGTCAGTGTCCGGGTGCACGATTCCACCTTCAATTAACTGGAAATAAAGCGCTACGATCACTTAATGACACTGGTGAAAATGTTTTATGAATCTATGTTGATCCAAGTTCCCATACCGCTTCAGTACAACTACAAGGAATCAACAAGATGGCAGAGTGAAAAAGTATATATAAAGTATCGGAAATCAAGATCCAGAGCAAAATAAAGAGTGAATGCATCCAGACCACTTGAAATGAATCTATATTACCTAAACCTAAACTTTTAGCCACTGACTGAGATCATCACACAGATTATTCTTGATGGCTAACAGGTGAATATCAGGAATAATAGACAAATCGTACCTGTGCATCTCATAAGAAATACTTGTGGTACAAGTCAATTAACTGGATTAGCAAATTCACTCATCTGATTCAGTGGACCCCCAAAAACTATTCATGCCTGAATTCAAAATTACTTGATAATCATAAAAATGGATATTTTAACTTTTTATTAAGATATATTTTGTGAACTAATTTGACGTTAAGTTCCTTCTAGGAAAGTCACAGTAAACCACGTTTTTTACTGAATGATACTTAAAAATGGGAACTCATCAGATAATGATCTTTATTTAAAATTATGTAACCCAGTAACTAAACTGCTTTTCTTGATCAATAGACATTAATTGATAAATTCGGCTTAAAACCAATCACTAACATATGAATGATTTATATGCACACACCAATTTACAGAATGAGTGGAACATGTGCATAATGCACTTCAATCTATTGTATGGTATTTGAAATACATTAAATTCATCATACAATTTATCTTACCTTGAGTAAATCATATCTAAAACGTTCATGAAACACGCGATTAATCTCAGCACCTCCAGACAATATTTGTGTATTGACGTCAGCTACATGTCCACTAATATTTTGAGAAAATTCTGCTTCAAATGACTGAACCATCCTGATAAGATAAAGTAATGGAAAGTATGGAGCAGAGCTAGTGAATATTTTAAACACCTGATTATTAAATATTGCAGAATTTATATTTTCCCCTTTAACTGCAACAATTTGGAGTTAAGTCTATTATGTGATTTGAACTTAATTGTGCCGACCTCCACTTAGTAATTCAAGTTGCAATACCACTTGAAAGTTTTCGGTAACTCATTTACCAGATACACATTTATGTACTTGATTTTGAGTTGTACTTTAAATGTCAGGGTCGGTGATACAATTCTAATAGAAACATGAGAGTTTGAACTTGTGTTTTAATAGCTGGAATTTGAACTTCATAACCATTGACCCAACACTTCACCACTTCGAAACTAAGTTCTGCATATTCATTACGGTGGTATCTCATAACAGCAAGAGAATTCGATGGGTCTGACCATTCCACCAACATTTTTTCTGAACGTTTTCATAATGATTAGTTAGACTTTACATGTATAGTAGAGAAGACTGAGAATGTAAAACCGGCTTTTAAACAAGAAAAAATTAGTCGATTACTAACTAAAGCTGGGGTTAAAGGATGCATCCAGATAGTGGACTCATTTTTATTAGTACTGCTAATGATAGTATTGAATAAGAATCAAGTCCCAGATTATTTTTAAGTTTCAAGTTGGGGACATCAAAAAAGGAAAATATATCACTACAGAAAACAATCAACCCTCGTCAAGTGTTGATTCGGTAATTTTTTGTAAGTGCCCATCGATAGTCTAGCTCGAACGATGTTAGGTAAGTGAGAAATAAACAAGAAAAGGCTTGGAAACGAGGGAAAACTTGTGGAATCTGTCTACACTCACTAAACAGTATTGGTAAGAAAATTACAGTGAACTTACTAGGAAGAACAAAAATGCATAATCCGGTAATTTATTAACATCTACTAGTCAAAGAATTTAGTCTATTGACCTTGTAAATTATATGCTTACATAAAGTTACTGAGTAATTATTGTTAACTAATCCCAGTTCAATGTAATCAAATTTTATCTAATGACCGGAAATTTAAAATGATATATGACAGTACATTTTGATCATTATGACTCAGTGGTTGGTACATAAATAAATCTTCATTTACAGTTTGGACTTTTTTGTGTCGAGATAAATCATTCTTGTTCTGTTGAGAAAGTAGCAAATAAATTTATAACGCAGTCATAACAAATAACCATACAAGCGACAATGTTAGCATTTTTAAGTTCGTTACAGACAGACTTGGTGGTTTATATAAACTATCACTTTCATTTTACTACCTAAAGTTTAATTTCTAGCGATTAGACTTAGTTATTAAATTGGTTAGCTAAAGATGAGGTGTAGTGCTTTTTTCAAATTGAAATCTAGCCTACACCACGTCATAAAATAGAATGAACAGGATAGTATTTAAGTTTCCGCTAGGAGGTTGAAGAAATTGTTTAGCCTGAATAAAAATCCACTGGACAAATGTAACTAGGACAATAATTTGATCAGCAGACAAAAATAAAAAAATCTACATAATTATAAATTCCAGTTATAAATCATTAACTTATTTTACATAAAGATAAGAAAAAGGAACTAATTACTGTAGCAATGCTTTTGTTTTATAAGCTGGGTCGTCTGGACGATAATTACGAAAGTCAGAAACTTCTTTTTCCAAACTAATTAGTTGGGCTTGTAGCCGACTACGTAGATGTGGCAGAGTATCGCGGATATGGTTCGTTAGTTGTTGATTAAGTATACGTTGGAGATAAGGAGTTCCCATACGATCAGCCATATGACGATAACTGGGATGTGAAAGGAAAAATCTACGTTCGGCTTCCAAGGCAGCAGTGATATTTTTGCGCCCATCTATATCTCGCTGGCTTCTGTTGACTACACCTATATAACCTACACAAGTAAAAAAGATAGGTATGAAAGGTTAAAGAGGCGAATTACAACATATCGACGTAAAAGAACTCCTGATAACATGAGAGTAAAATGTAAAAACAAACAAGCAAACAAAATAATCACTGACCAACTACAAACTGTTTTGTACAAGAACGTTAAATACTAGTCCATTGCTTTTAATATCATTGGTTTACTACACGAATAATATTCAGAATCTGACTATCAAGCTAACGGAAAAAGTCATGTGTACAGAATCAAGTGGGACGAAAAATATATTTGGAAGACCTATAATGCATTAGATAATTGTACAGATTAACCCATTAATACTACTAAATATGTATAAACCTCTTCAGATTGGTAAATTTGAACAGTTGGTGGGTTTTAGATTAACCGAAGTTTTTGGAATAACGAGTAGTGGATTATGCGATGAGACAGGTTAGGAAATATCTTACGACCTAACGTAAACGTGCATCCATTGCGCATTAACATTAGCGAGCAAAGATCCGGAATAGTGACAACAAAGAAACAAAATAATGGCAACGACAGGATTTGCGTGAACATGTAAAGTAAAATGAAATGTTTACTGATTAGTAAAAATATAGATTGGATGTATTCATACCGGTGCAATTTATCTCAAGCCACATTTATCTCCATGATCTCGACTTAAAGAACTTTGAACCATTAGCTGAGTGTTGTGAAAACTTGATTTTATTCATTGACTATCAGGTTCAAATACTTCTACACTTAGTCACGAGCAAAAAGTAACCTAGTATCAGTGAGACAATCTGAGATTGATGGAACGAGAGTAATTACTCTCTGAAGGCGTCTTGAACGCCGGTCACAAAACTTTGGGGAACGGTCAATATTCTAATCCAACAAGAGGGTTGCCTAATTTTAATATTTGTTCGACTCATCACTAGTTCAGCACAGGGACAAGGTCATAGAAGTCAGCATCTTGATCGGCAATTTTTGTCATTTTTATGATGAGGATTTTGGGAAAAAAGTAATCCATAAAAAAAGTGACGACGGAGGTTTTTCGCTGATGTGATTGCTCAAAAAGAAAATGTCTATTACTATGGACGACCTTAAAACCATTCTACAAATTCAGAAAACGCACAGTAATCCTAATCAAATGAGGCTTCTAGATTCAGTTACAAGTTCTCATTTCATTCCACTTCAACCTATCAACCAGATACATATGTAAGCATCACAAATCCCATTCGTCAATCCAATTATGATCCTGAATTTGGTATCATATTTGATTCCAAGTTCCATCATTTCAAAAACATATTCCGTGTCGACTGCTGAGATCTCGATGATGCAACTAAAGTTTGTCTACTTTTTAGAAGACTTGGAGCACGTGAATATAATAAATCTGTGAATTTCATCTTGCCAAAAAATCAAGAGCATGTTTGCGACTTTTGAAGTCGAATTTCAAAGTAAAAAGAAGAATTTAAAATTACAAGCGAATAAAAAACCTATTTGTCTTCAGTCAGATACGGCTTCCAACATTACATTGGTTTCCAAAAACACGTACCACAAACTAGGATGTTCACGCATTGAAGCGACCGAACATGTTCCCCGGAATGCCTCAGAAGTTATATGCGAGTTACAAGTCAAAGGACATAAATTCGACGGTGTTTGTTATCTGACAAATCGGTATGATTTAGATTTATCAGGTTCAGACTAGATTTAAAAGATTGACACCTCGAATAGTTTATTTAATGAGGTATGTTTTCATAATCCTTTCTCTGAACCCATTCAAAATTCTCATAATATTTTCAAATCAAATGCCTGCAATAAAATATGCTATAATAAGATTTCCAAATTTCATGCATTATGTCCTAATTATATTACTACACCAACATCCTCTGTTTCCTCCCGAATGCCGAAATCTTATGTTAATTATTTTTGGCAAAAGCATGCAGTTGTATCCTGCAACAAAGTGGGCTGCTGTAAGTTTACCAAAGTGTTTTTGTCATTAAAACCAAAGCAATAAGATGTAGGAGGAAGAAACTGAAAAATGGAGACTCAATTCAATCGTCATCACAGAGCGAAACGTGGAATATCCCAAAATAGACAGGAAGTATACTCGCCTCCCCGGTGGACCAGTGGACGTGCACTTAAGAGAAGAAGGAAAGTAATGTATGTAGTGAAAGTTGAGGGTCGAAGGAGGATACATCATGCCAACCACATACTGGAAAATTACAGTACATCACAGAAAACTGAGAAACTTGGCTCACTGTGGAAAATCTTCTTAGGCACCTTAGACATAGCTTTTTGACTGGTGATTCTTTTATTATTTATTTCAGTTCACCAGATCGATAATGTTTTACAAGGATCACAACACTTGTCACTTTCCCTTACCTATGCACTCAGATAAATGGAGGAAGATGATGTGAACAGAAATATACTAAAACTATGAAAAATGACGGAAGCTATTTTTCGGGACACTATTTCACTTAATTCAAAGTTTGTACAATACTAACACTTAGTCTTACCCCTAGGTTATTCTATAAACAATAAGATTCTGTCTGATGCGTGACCCACTGCCATACTCTTTTTGTTCCAAACTAGATTGAGACAAGTTCTCTCCTGTATGTTATTTGGTAGACAGATCAAGGACGTAGCACCGATACTGGACGTTTCTGTTTATGACATGTAAGAAACACCTATGAAAGTATATGGTAGTGGAGCTGATGATTTTCAAAAAATTTGTGCTCGTTGCTTACGGAGAATTGTTCACTTCCAGCAGCAACATTATGTTAGTAACGCTGAAGTTTGGAGATGTAAATTTGAACGCGACGATAATTAGTGTCACTATCTTGAAACACTGACTTCGATAGCTCGGTCGTATCTTACGAATATCATCCCAGCAGTCGACGATGAAACTGGTTGGTAAAGTCGGATGGTTAATTTACGTTACGGGGAGTGTTATATAAAAATAGGGGCATATGAGTAGTATGTCAGTTTATTACGAATCCTCGATTGGAATCCTAAAGATCGTGCAACTCAGATAAGACTCAGAACGAAAACTAGTACCAGATCATATTCTTCATAAAAATGAGGACTGTAGAACTGGTATGAGTTAACACCTGAACTAGTGGTAAGAAGTAGAGTACTCTGATCCTCTGACCTTGGGATTCTCAGTAGCCCTAGTGGATTGGTATCCGACGAAATTTCGGCACAGATCTAAGAACCCCAGATGACGTCTGTTGAATGCGTAACTTGTGGAGTAGGCGAGAGGAACGTTTTCCAACGAAAGGGTGTGTATACTGCGCAGCTGTCTTTTATGCTTTACACTATGGTTGTGAAAAATGGTCTATGAAAGTGGAAGACAAGTAAGGGCTTAAATTTTTTGGCCATAATCGTCTTTAAAGAATTTCTTGAATTTTGTGAAGTGTTAGGCAGAGTAATACACGAAGTTAGAGAACAGCTTGATGAGGTAGTGAATCGTCATCGACTGAAGTGTTTAGGATGTTTAATACATATCCTACAACTCAACTCGACAAGCGATGCGTATTAGTGGAGAAGGCTGGAAGATAGAGATCGAACCAAAACTCGGCAATAATGCGTAAATTCATTGACAGATGTAGACCACCTGACCAAGGTCTGGGTGATAACTGTAATCAGTAGTTGGACATTGAGTGACACGGCTTAGAATATATCACACAAGCTTATCCACTTAAACTGAAAGCTTGAATTTCCATAACTGTAAAAAGATTTGATTAATGTAGAGAACAAAACGTTTGATACACTAGTTAATTTATGCATTTCTTGAAGACTAACTGAGATGAATGAAGGTCTTGGAATGTTGTAATGAGACAATATAATTTCTGATGAATTACGAATTACTATAAAGTACTATGTCGATATCAGCAGTAAAAATCTCCTGTTCTACTAATTAAACATTATTAGATATCAGTCTTACTTCTATAGTCAGAATTTGGGGAGTAAGATTACGTCCTCAAAACCCAAAACATTTGACTTCGCCTCAAAAGTATATTTTACCTAAAGGTATAATATTAAGTTTGGATTGTAATGTATGGCCTTGTCAACTAGAACTCTAAACCCGAAAACCGGAAAAACGTATATAACCTAGATTTTGAACTTTGATACTTTAAGGCAACAAATATACTAAAATAAACACCAAACAATTGGATTACCTCTTCTTAATGGGAGTAATCTATTTTCGAGAATTTCCTGTGCATCTGTTCCTTCATCCATCAAATCTAACTTTGTTATTACCCCGATAGTACGCAGACCCTGTGGGTCATATTCCTTAGCAAGTTTCAAGGCATCGGAATTAGCGAGGTCTGAATTAGCAGGGCTAACAGCCAAAATAAGACAGGAATCTCTCTCGATAAATTCAATGATCATGTTGCGGATTTGAGTTTCGATATCCGGTGGCTGATCGCCAACAGGAACCTTGGTCATTCCAGGAAGGTCAATAAGGGTAAGATTGAGGACTACAAAGAATGTAGGAGTAAGATCAAAATGATTACAACACACCGCTGGGGGAATGGATCCTGAGGTTGATTGGAATGTTTGAGATACCCTTATTAGAGCCAGTGATTCTGTCCGTTTCCTGTTCGATTTCCCGTCGGATGTCATCAAAATCCGTGAACTTTTTATTTTTACAGTGAATAAATTCCCCATATTCAACTGTTTAAAAGCAGTGGAATGAGTTAAATAAAACTCCTACCTGACTTATCATGGACCAGTTGCAGAATAAGCGGTCTCCTTGTGACTATACCACTGCCTCTCGGTAGGAAATCACTTTAAAGGAAGTGTAATTTTATTTTTAGCCTACCGCCCCACGAAGTTTTCCAGCACTGAGCTTTTACCAGCACTTTGGCTTCCTACAACTGCAATCTGAGGTAAATCAAGGTTCAGAGGAAGGTTAAGAGATGCGAAAGCATCCTGAAGCTTATTAACAAGAGGTATAAGCCTTTCCATCCCTTCATTCCCATACATTTTGCAATAACTATAATTACAGAAGATTCGTACAACCCACCGATGAATAGCCTTGAGAGGCCTCTGAGTCAAGCTGATTATCACAACTTCAAACAATCAGATTCAGATCTATGTAGTAAGGACAGAAGGCCTACGGCCTACGTTATTCCTTTTGCGGTATGCTTCTATGAGTGTTTAGTCTTCTCTTGAAAGAGTCAATTGAAGGTGCGGACACCAGTGCTCCGGGCAGCAGGTCCTAAGTATTGATGACTCGGTGTGAAAACCTGTATGCCACCGGTATTTTGTTCGTTCTTGGCTTTTCTACTCGCCTGCTATGTCCTCTGAGATGTCCCGATCTGGTAGGAAGAAAAAGAGAGAATAAGTTAGGTCCAAAATCATTTATCGGTATTCTGTACATCGAAATTAGATCTCCTCTTAACCAGCAATAGGACAGAGTAAAGATGTCCAGCTTTTCAAGCCGCTCTTTGTATGGTAAACCCCGGAGTTCTGGGATTGCACGGGTAGTTGCTTTCTGTACTTCTTCTAGGATATCCGAGTCACCTTTTAAACAGGAGCCTGCAGCCTGAACGCAGTTCTCAAGCTTAGTCCTCACTAAGGATGTATATACTGTGGTGAACATTGTAGTATCTAGCTTGGTGAATGTCCGTTTTAAAGCACAAAGGGCTCAAAACCCCTCAGCTGCGACCTCCCGGCGATGGGTCGTCGTCTTATGATCATGACTCACTGTCACCCCTAGATCCTTATGACACCGGACCACGGGTAATGGCACTTCCCCTATGTTGTACATATTAACCTTTGAATCCACAAAGTGCATGTAGACACACTTTTCCGAGTTGATAGGCATCAGCCACTCTTTAGACCAGTTAATCATATTATTTGAGTCGGCCTGAAGAGCACATGCGTCTTTGTCTTCAGTTATTACTCGCCAGATTTTTACATCGTCAGCGTATAATAACATTGGAGACTGTACTATACTTGGAAGATCATTAACATACATTATAAAAAGTAAAGGACCTAGGACTGAACCTTGAGAAACCCCACTAAGTACTGGTCTCCAGATGGAGCACTTGGAATTTATTCATACTTTCTGTCTACGACCTACTGGGAAATCCCTAATCCATTTTAAAAGAGGTCCGGCAATACCAAGGTTTTTCAACTTCAATAGCAGTCTATTAGGTGACACCTTGTCAAAAGCCTTACTGGAATCTATGTAGACAACACTCACTGAGTTTCCGTTGCCCAGTGCATTTATCCAGAATTCCCTTGCTATAAGGAAGTTCTTTGTACAAGATAGACCGTTTCTAAAACCATGTTGTTCCATGTTTAGCAAGTTATTGGTTTCCATAGATGTCATTATGGTCCGTTTGACTATTCTTTCCATTATTTTAATCACAACACTGGTGAGGCTTACAGGTCTGTAATTCGATGGAACTTGTCGTGAACCTGTTTCGTGTATGCGATAGACGATCGCGTCCTTCCAGTCCATAGGTAATACTCCTTGATCGAGTGACATGTTGAATATCACAGTCAGTAGGGCCGCGATATATTGTGCAATATGTCTCAATATTTTGCGGTGTAGTTCATCTGGTCCTGTTGACTTTTCCATGTTTAAAGTGCTAAGAGCCTTAAGTACATCGTCTTGATCGAAGTCAACGGTTAGCAGGTGGTTTGTTGACTGTTTATTTTGATCTGGTTCTTTCTCTAGAGGAGGTTCCTGAGTGAAAACTGTCCCAAAATAGTCAGCCATAGCCTGTGCTTTTTCCTGATCTTCCTCTATCATTCCAGATTCTCTTCCTTCTTTAATTAGGTTGGGAATCCAATCATGCATACGAGAATATTCTCTTGAGCTGCTTGAGTGCAGATTGTGCCAACTGCATTCCATATTTTCTTTGAGCTTCCCGAATTTTAGCGTTCCGTCGTTTCTGCTGTGCTAAGGCAGATGGCAACATCCCAACATTTCTTCTTTTGTCTTAGTAAACGTCGAATATCTCGGCCTATCCGGAAATGGCCGTGCTTCTTCCTCTTTGGAAATGTCCAGGGTATGTATGGTTGAGTTACCCGATTGTATTACTGCCTGAAAAGAGTCCATGCCTTTTGTACTGATACCCTTGAGTTCATTTTCTCAGTTTTCAGCCTATGCTGCACAGTGGACTGCCTTCTTGTCTGCCTTCCATATTTTAGGAAGGGCCGGCGCAACTGTTCGACAGGCAATCTCAGCAATGAATTTGAATAAGATGACTACATGACCGCTTCTCCCTAGTGGTGGGAGAAAAGTCATTTGCCCAACGTCATCACCATGTGTGAAGACTAAATCTAAAAGAGAAGAAGAGCTTCTTAAGTCATATCTTGTGGGGTTTCTATTGTGTTGGAATAAAGCTAATGCAGTCGAGTTTTCTAACAGCTTGCAATCGAACCATGTTATCGATGACCCTACTTCTAAGTTACCCAATTTATATGCGGTGCATTTAAGTCACCTACTACAAGGCTTTTACCCTTGTTACGCCAGGACTTGAGTTTATTTAGGAGAAAATCATCTGCTACAAATTCTGGACTGCGATAAACCACAACTAATTCAACATATTGCCGTCTACATTTCAGGTTACATCGCACCGGTTCACATGTCCCTGACACATGTGCTACCGTCGCAGCTAATCTTATGGTTGGGGTACTTTTCGTGTACAGAATAACCCCGTCTCCCCTTCGGTTTAATCTATCAGCCCTACTGGTTATGAAACCAGTCAACTGGATTTCACTATCTAATACTTCTGACGTTAACCAAGTTTCCGAGACATCAATAACGTCCGGTTTTTCTTTATCCACCACTGACTTGAGCTCCGCCATTTTATTTAGTAGGCTGCGAGCATTTGTGTAGCATACCTTTAAGTCTGTGGAGAACTTTCCCTTGCCACCCAGAGTGGCTTGGGGATCGCTTTGCTCTGAACTTTTACAATTTGAAAACCCTTAAGAACGAGGTTTCTTTCACCGTTTTGGCGACGCTCATTTATTTCCGCTTCTGCAGCTCGCTTCTTAATACGATCAGCTAGGCTGAGATCCTCACGGACGTATATTCCGGATCCAATCAGTTTACGTGAATTACCTAGAATCAGGTTCCTTTCTTCAACCGTGATGAATGTAACCTTCAAGAGGCGGTCTTTCTGAGGACTTTCGGAATCCACCTTTTTTCCTATTCAATAAAGCTTATAAATACTAACTCCTGAAACTGTATCTTGGAGTTATTTACTTATTAAGGACGTAATATGATTGAGATCGTGTTAAAATATAGCCTTTGATTCTTTATCGGAAGATTCTTTTAACTTATGAAAAATGACTGATCTCTCAGAGAGATCTGTCTTGTCACGCAGTGTAGTTTTTGCTTCTGATACAGTCTCTTCCAATGACTTGCTGACCAGCTGTGTTTTACCAACAGCTTTCTTCTTCTCATTTACCTTTCTCCGTACTGAAGTCCACTTATCACCACTCAGGACAGCCACACTGGAACTATTTGGAACGGTGACAGTCTTATCCGGGCCTTCAATTTCGACTAGAGGTGTATGATTGACGATGTCAGTATCTAGCGGCACTTCACTCTTTGTTAATATTATCTGAAATTTCACTTTCCCGTCAGTCACAGTTGGGTGTTTAGCGGGTCCGGTAGCAGCACCGTCAGTGCTCGTGTTATCAGCGCTACCGCCATCGTTTTTCTTACAGGCCAAAGCCAATAGGCTCATAGCCTCCTGAATTAGTAACTTTTTATTTGTACAGCAGAACATACAAAGCCAATGTGAGTTAGGCTTCGAAAATCTTTTGCATGCCATAGGACTTAGGCGTGTACACATCTTATGGCACTACTTATTACAATCATCGCACAGCGTCCATTCCTCAACGAAGAACAAGCAGTTTGGTTGTCCACATTTAAACAGTATAATTCAGTAAAATAAATTTTGAAAGAGAAAAAAAGAGACAAGGAGGATCAGGGGATTAGAATTTAGGAGAACACAAAGAGTGGATGCACTTGCACCATTGCAAACGATTTTGAGCCATGACATCCAAGGTCTCTAATGATCGATTGCTATCATCTCGTGGTCCCCAACCATGCAGTCTACACCTGCCAACATGGCTCAATCCACTTGTCAGTGACTTCATGTATTCGTGCCATGTTTTTGTCTGGCCACCCCTAGCTTTCTTCCAATCTAATCCTATACCATAAAACATCGCACGTCAAGGCAGTCGGTCGTTGGGGATACGTAACACGTGTCCCAGCCATCTCAACTGATGAAATTCCATCACTTCATCAATCGATTTGCCACCCTTACCTAGTACCCGTTTCCTAACAACTGAATTACTTACTCGATGATCCCAGGATATACGAACAATCTTTCGAAGACACTTATGATCAAATACTAGTAACCTACGAATAACCTCTGCTCTTACTGGCCATTTTTCACTGCCATAAAGTAAGACGGGACGAACTGTTGCGTAATAAACCCGTCCTTTGGTTGGTAGACGCAAGTTGACAAAAGCTAGTCGAACCTTTTGTATCCGTGGTGAGATTTCGTCACACACCAGACCACAAGGGCTGATCAGACTTCCAAGATAAATGAATCGGTCGACACGCTCAACTACTTCACTCCCTATCATTAGTTCAGGTGCCGATGCAACATTCTGCATTTCAAGGGGAAGAATCGCATCCCGAACATGCTTGCATTGTTGCTTAGAGTGGTCAGAAGACTCTGCATTTTGTCAGCGTCTTCACCAAATAAAAATATGTCATTGGCATACTCCAAGGCAACAAGTGAATCTCCTGGAATAAGTTCAAACCCTAGAAATTTAGATAAGGAAAGTGTTATCTCTAAAAGCACGTCAACGACAAAGTTGAACAAGAATGGAGAGAGTGGACGGCCCTGACGAACACCACTTGAGGTAAGCAATTCTGATGACAGTTCGCCATAAGCTCTCACTCAACCAGATGTGTTCAAGTAGAGAGTCTGTATAAGGTTAATGAACTTCTTTGGTACTTCTTTCAGTGACAAACACTGCCATAGAACCTCACGATCGACAGAGTCGAATGCTGCTTTAAGGTCGAGAAATACTACCATTGTGG